GAAACACTGACACTGTGGTGCACTGATTCCACACCTGACCAACAACATGTCATCAGAGAGCAAGGGACCAAGAGGCCCTGCTTAGCTAAATCAAGGAGCACTGTAAAGTTAGTTGGATGTCTTGGGGCACAAAGTGCTTCTCCCAAGGATATTTCATACCCAGGGCCTGTGTGAGAGGAAAGGGAGGCTGTGTGAGGAGCAGCAACGAGTGAAGTCTTACTTGGATCAGGACCAGAAGACTGGCAAGGAAAACAAAGGTCAGGTTGAACCCCAGCAGCTCCAACAAGGACAGTGCAAGGCAGCCTTTCTCGGAGCATTCCTCCACCGCTGCAGGGACGGTCAAGGAAAACAACAACATTCCCCACACCAACACACAATCACTTGATCACGTCTGGGCGTCCCACCAGCATCAGGAGCCAGGCCTGTGCTCCCTAATCCAGCTGACACAACTCTTCAGAAAGCCAGGCTTCCTTTTCAGAGCTCAAAACTGAGTTATGAGGAAGGGAAACCACTTATTCTTTCAGCCTCTGTTTACGTACCCGGCACTGGAAACATTCCTTAGTTTCAAGGGCTGAATTACATAAGCAAGTTGAAAACTTGCTTAATCATGAACAACATGACCGATGGCAGAAGTGTGAGAGTCAGCTGTTCTGAGCAAGACAGGGGAGCAGAAGAGAAAAGGTCGCTTGATTCTACCAGGGCCCCCCGCACGAGGGAAAAGATACAGCTTTGCACCACCCGGAACTTGAGCTGCGTGAAGAGCCGCACGAAGAAATCCACGAACAGGCCCACCTGGGAACAGAAGGCAGGATTGCCATCAGGAATTACTACATACAGTAACAAAGACCACCCTCTAGTATGCACACATGGGAAGACAGAGGATGAAGAAGCCAAAGGAATCATCAGTCAGAGTGAAGTAACTTTGAAAGGTCAGATTTCCTCCGTCTCTCTTTCCCACTGGGACAAATCCAGCCTAGTATTGTTCCTGAAGAGCTGTATTTCAGAGTATTAATCAGGCAGCACTTTTAACACCCTCAGCATGCTTCAGGGCACAGAAGAAAGCTGGTGTTTAACTGAGGCACACAGTCAGCTAATTTTAAAGCACATGCAGTGACACTAATACAGCCAAACATACACAACACAGTTCAGCTATAAATTTGCATCCTTTTTTATTAAGTGCTCACTTTGGACAAGTTTTCTGTATGCAGAACTAAAGGATTTGCCAGAATACTTTAACAAGAAAGCACAGCAAGTTCTAAAAGAAAAAAAAGGCCTCTTTGAAAATCAACTAGCAACAACATGCTGTAACTCCCAAAGGACAACTCCAGCTTCTAAGCTCTCCACTTCACGAAAGAGAATGTTTCCTCCTCTTTACGCCTTGGCCATTGACTTCTAAATTATTCCTGCTTAGTCTCCTGAATTTTCCTCATTCCCCAAACAGCATGACCCTTACCAGTCCAGTGCAGACTCCAATAGCAAAAACCAGCACCCACTTCACTGCTTCGTATCTCTGGGCTTTCTGTTTAGGAGGAGGATAAAAAACAGGAAAGAAAAAAAAAGTCAAGTCAAAGTAACACAAAAACAGGGATTGGAAAAGGGTGTTTGGGGGCTCCACAGCTCAAGTACAGTCAGAGGGATAAATCAGCAGAAGATGATGACAACAGCAAACTGAAAATAGGGAACTGAAAGTGCTGAACATCTCACTCACTTCAAACCTGGGAGGATCAGAACAGATGCTGACCTATAATCTCCAACCAGACCTTTATTCTTTTTGTAGGGAACGCAAGAGAACACATATTATTTCTTTCATAAAGAAGAAAAATCCCACGGAACTTCCTGCAGTGGAGCATTTTTATAATCACACGATGGTTTGGGTTGGAAGGGACCTTAAAGCTCATCTCATTCCACCCCCTGCCACAGGCAGGGACACCTTCCACTAGACCAGGTTGCTCAAAGCCACATCCAACAAGGCCTTGAACACTTCCAGTGACAGGGCATTCACAGGTTCTCTGAGCAATTTCCACAGTTTTAGCTCTCAAGCACTTAGGAAAAAGAAAGAACAAGGTCCTACCTTGTTGTCCATGCCCTCCAAAACTTCCAAGTATGGGTCATTGATACAGCGATCATAATCCAAGCTCTGAAATGCCAAAAGGTCAATTTAGGAGAACCAGCTACAACAGATGGTGCAAAAAAATTATGGCTAGAAGGCCTTGGTAAAGATTACAGAAGACATTTCTACCTGCACAGCAGATCTTGCAAACAACAGTAGGAGAAAAAACTCCTGGAAACAACTTAAATATTTCCATCAGAGTCAGACCCTGAGAATCAGGGAGTGATGAATTTCACTGCCCTGGCTGAGAGAGACAGGGAATCAAACAGAAGCCCAACTGAGTAATACAACTTTAAATTAAAGAAGCCACGCTGTACAGATTTATACTTCACTTCTTGAAGTGCCTCCACTTTGACAGTGCAGGGCATAACACTGGATCTTTATATTTATCCTCTCACTACAACAGGAACACTGGATGGGAACTCCTCCCCAGCTGAACAGCATCAGTTCCTCAGTTTATCACAGCAGGGAGTTAACAGCAATACAGTTTTCCTGTTGTACTCACAAAACCACCACTAGTGCTACCCACATCTTCAGCTTTTCAAGCCAAGCAGTAACAGGCTTGGTTGGTGACACCCATTCAGGGCCACCATACAGCCAGAAACCTCCTGTAATAAGCAGGGTCTGACACATGGGAAGATCTGCTGTGAGGCAGCACGACAACAGAGACAGCAGGAAGGCAACTGGGACCAAGTAGCTACAGGTGCTTTCTACAATCACAAGGAAACAAGGGCACTAGAGCCTGAAAAATCTCACATTTAAGAAGTGGAACAACGCAGTGGACTCTGAAAATGAATTTTCTCAGCAAGGTTCTGACATGAGCAGCAGCTGTTCAAGCTCACAGGGCTTTACCCCAGAAATGCACAAAGATGAGGAGCAGTTCCTTGCAAGCACAGAAACTGTTGGTATTTCCACTGATGCCAATGCAGCCTAATGATACATTTTGAGCACCTGCCCCATCGCAGACTCAAACAGCTCTTTTCACATTAATTTCAGAAGCTGCTCTCAGTTAATTTCCCACCTCATAGTCTTTGCGGGGAAGGATCTCATCCTCCTCTTCGTGAGTTTCTCCAAGGATTGTCTGCAAAACAAACAAACGTGGGAAAGCACAACCATGAGGGGAACTGACACATACACGGGTGCTCATGAACAGCACCAGCAAAGCTAAAGTTACAGAAGGCCTACACCACTGCTGTCTGTGAATTGAGAGTGTGGGTTACCAGACTATCACCTGCTTTAGGGCAACTCTGCAGGGTCTTACCTTAGAGCCAGAACGCCCCACATCACTTCTAAATAGGAACTCCCCACAGCAAACTCCCACCCCACATCCCACCTCCCTTCATGGCAACAGGTTCCAGGGGAGGACAGGACAAGCAGCTTGCAGAGGCAGCGCCCTGTCATGCTGGGGTCAGAGACAGCCCTGCCGGCAGCACGGTCCCACACGAGGGTGGGGTACGAGGCCCACACAAAGAGCGCGGGCAGGGACAGCGGGAGGTGCCGGGCCCGGCAGTGAAACGTGCGGGAAGGGGGTCAGGTGCCGGGCCGAGCATCCTTGGGGGGCCGGGCCGAGCGCGGGGTGAGGCACTGGGGACGAGGCACCGGGCCCATCGCCACAGCGCCGCTCCCGCCCCTTCACCGCCCGCCCTCAGGCGCTCCCAGCGCCGGGCGGGGCGGGGCCGAGGCCCGGTGTAGGGGGTCTCCGGCGGCACACACGAGCTCGGGGGCCGCCTGGGGGGGAAGGCGCGGGGGCCGCGGCCGTACCAGCTCCTCGGGGGTGCGGCTCTCCCGCTCGCCGCAGCAGCAGCAGCACAGCCCGGCCCCGCACCCGCACCGCGCCATCTTCGCCGCGGGACCCGCCCCGCACGCGTCACGCCGCGCGCCGGCCCCGCCCACGCCCGGCCCCGCCCCCCCGTGACCGCGCCCCCCAGCAGCGCCTGGCCTCGCCCATTCTCCCCGGCCACGCCCACCAAAATGGCCACGCCCACTAAAGCCCTGTCCTGCCCCGCCCCCGCGGTCCCGCACGGCTCCGCCCGGTCCCGATCCCGATCCCGATCCCACTCCCGCTCCCGATCCCGCTCCTGCCCCATCCCGGTCTGGTCCCGCCCCACCCCGGTCCGGCCCCGCCCGCGCGGCGCCATGTCGGGTGCGGGCAGCCCCACGTGACCCGCACGGCCGCGGCCGCCCTTAAAGCGCGGCGGGCGGGGGGGCGGCCCGGGCAGCGCCTGGCACCGGCCGCAGGTGAGAGTGACCGGGATGGGGACCCGATGGGGACCCGATGGCTGCCCCAGCGCTGGGGAGCACCGCCCTGCCCCGCTGCGGGTCTGCCCGGCGGGGTCTGCTGAGGTGGAGGGGCCGTCGGGATGCAGCGGGATGCCCCCATTGTCCCGAGCGCGGCAGGGACCCCCGGGCACCGCGGACCCCAGTGCTGCTCCTCCCGGCCTTCCCGTGGCCGCTGTCCCGGTGTCCTGGCGGCGGATCGAACCGCGGGCTCTCTCAGCCCCGCGCAGGGCTCTCAGCCCGGTGTCGCGGCCCGGGACAGCGAGGCCCCCGGAGCAGCCCCTTGCGGCGTGTGAACGGTGCATCTGTGCAGTGAGTGTAGCCCGCGTGGTAAAGCTGAGCTTTCGGGGAGCGCAGGGCTCCACCCTGCGTGTCTGGGTGTCAGCTCAGGGCAGGGAGGAGTTGGAATAGCAACCGGCATCATACAGGCACAACAGGTGCATCCATGCTGAGCATCCCTGGTGTGCTGAGCCACGGGTGTCTGAGCTCTGCTGCGTGGCAGAGACAGGAGCAGGAGTGCTGAGAGGTGCTTAAGATTGCCTTGTTTTGCTGCTGGCTTTGTTGTTTAGGCTTATCTTGTTTATCTTTGCAATAACGGCAAGCTTCTGCCAGCAAGTCTGTGATGCATCTGACGGTAAAGAGACTGCTCCACATGCTGCCTGTAGACAGAATCTAAGTGAACCTTTCTCCTGTCTTTGTGATTCGATGTTTCCAGCAAGATAAGGAACTTTTTGCATCCCACAGAGGCGTTAATACACAAACCCTTTCCCCTTGTGATGGGTTTTAGTGGGAAAGCAGACATCCTTTGATTTGCCTACAGTGATATGCCATGCTTGCTAGAAGTGAGATATTAGGAGCTGACAGAACGTGGTTTTGAGCCGCCAGCTTGATCACCAGCACATGCTTTGGAATAATTCTCCCAGATTAGTGCACGTGGATGTCAGGCAAAGTCCTCTGGGTGAGCTTGGCCAGGGCTGTGCCCGTGCACGGGGTTGTTTTTGCTTCACTCATCGGTAGGTCTGAGCTGCTGTTTTTGCCACAGCTGCTGTGTTGGTACACAAGAGATCTGAGGCTCCCAGTTCCTCTTGGCAGCAGGAGGCCTGCGCTCCTTCCTCACATCTCCTGCCAGCTGGAGAGGTTCCTCAGGTGGTAAAAGCAGACTTTCTCCCAAAGGCTTTTTGCTTGGTTGGCAACTCAAGTGTAAACAGTAGAAGAAGAGTTCAGAGTCCTCTTGGCTGACCTAAAGCCACGGAGTTTACGATAAAGACAGAGAGTGTGTGCTGGCTCGAGCAACCATCCCCTCCGAAACAGGCTCTGAAGTTATGTAATGCTTGGACAACATGCTGCTTCCCAGTGATAAAGTTTTGGCAGGTACCTAAGCAAATAATGCAGATCCCAGTTTTGTGGCAGCTCTTCCGTAACTCTGTGAGCTCATTACCTCATTTTAAAGGCACAGGATGGAGCACTGTGGGGAGCTAAATGAAGCTGGGCATCCTAGACCCACTTGCACCTCCGAGTTGCTGTTTTGCTTTCTGTGAAGCCAGGCAGGCACAGCTGGTGGTGTTGCAAGGCAGGGAGACGAGGATGGTCTCTGCTGACTTTGTTTCCAAGCAGCCACAATTGGTGAGGAAAGGAACAGTGTATCAGCTAAAGTGTGTGTGCAGTGGGGCTGGCCCAGGGGACTGCTGTCTGTGGAGATGGTGGGTGTTGTGGAAAAGGCCAGTGATTGGAAATGCATCTGTCTGATCCAGCAAAGAAAACAAAGACCTGAGTTTTTAGGGGTGGCCTGATCAGAGGGGATTCTGTCCTTTGTTTCTGACACAGGAATAGTTTGTGCACTCTTGTGTCCCTGCCCCGTTAGCACTGGCTCTCCTACCTCCAGTGTAGAGCAGCACTGACTTTTGTGGAACAGACAGAATGGAAATTCTGAGGATGGAGACAGTCCAAGAAACACCTGCTATAAAAAAAAAAAAAATCTGCTGGCATGCCCAGCCCAAGGCCATGAGATCACAGAGGCCATCACCTGGTTCACATGGGCATCCTGCCGTGCTGAGTTCTAGTCAGGGCAAAAGTGATGTTGACCTGACTCTTCTGAGAGCCAAATTTGACCCAGCAGACACAGAAGAGCCGCATCAAAGCGGCACAAAGCCAACCGCTGTGTTATTTCTCTCAGCCCTATCTAAACACGTGCTTTTTATTGTGTCCTTGCTGCAGTTTACTGTGAGGGCTGGCAGAAGGGACTCCTTGATGATGAACGTTGGGTCTCGGCATGGGCTTATTAAATCATTGTCTGCCCACCCCGGCAGTAACCGCTCCACGCTGAGACCCTCGCACCCACCACCCTCCCTCTGCTCCCCTCTCCAGAGCTCCCACCATGGTCAATGAGACCCAGCAGAGCTGCAGCGCCAGCTCCAGCTCCAGGTCCGATGGCGGCAGCAGCAGCGGGAGCGAGAGCTCCAAGGACAACTCGCGCTGCTCCACCCCGGTGCTCGACGCCGACCGGCACGAGCGGCTGCGCGAGAAGATGCGCCGGCGGCAGGAGGCCGGGGACAAATGGTTCTCCCTGGAGTTCTTCCCCCCACGCACAGCCAATGCTGCTGTCAACCTCATCTCCAGGTGAGCGCTGCAGGGTGGGAGAGGAGTGTCAGTGGTGGAGGGCTGGGAAATAGCTAATGAGGCAGGCTCTGCCCCATGCTCTGTCTCCCCTTCCAGGTGACGAAGCAGGTAATGGGGCTGTGCTTTCCTGCTGAGGAGGGTAATGGACACCAGGTAACTTGTCTTCCTTGGAGGCCCTGAAGGGTTAAGTGCTGTGGTGGGATTACTGAGGGGCCAGGCTGTTTCCTTGCTCCCACGCTCTGGGAATTTGGAGCAACCCCGCTGTCACGCTCTGGGGCTGAAGCACAAGGCTGGGGTAGAAAAGTACCTGTTGAAAGCAGAGAATCCTCCTTGAGGGGCTGTGTGCCAAAGGCTCTGGAACAGACTCCCACTTGCTTTCAGAATCATGCAGCCACTATGGTTTGTGCCTCTGCATTATTGAGGACTGAAGTTTCAGCCTCTGAGATAGGTGTTCCCATCCAAACTTTAACTGAAAGGTGATAGTTCTCAGCAGAGCTAGAAGTTCTTCTGGAGCCCCAGGAGCCACCATGTACTCACCTGGAGGAGAAGAGGGTATTTCATAATTCTCTTTGTAGCTGCTGTATGCCAGTGCCACATGTTAAACAGAAGGGCCTGTTCCAACTCAGAGCAGGAGAGAAACAAGTCAAGGGAGCCTCTTCTCTTAGGCACAGTGGGGAACACAACAGAGTTCTGGTCCATCTTTTCATATTTGTGGCCTCTCCAGTTCCAGCTGGGAGCAGGGGGTTGCAGCATGGTCTCCCATCTCAAGAGGAATGGGACTTGCACTGCTCTCTAGCAGAAGCCATGTCAGTCTAATAGAACGTGCAGGGGAGGAAGTTGATTGTCCAGAGAACACCTCAGTTGCCTCTTCAAAGAGATTGTAAGCTCTTGTAAGCTCTTCCCCAGAGAGCCTTAAAGGATGGCTTTCCTTATTTACACTGGCCACTGGTCAAGCTCTCTCTGCCTGTTGCTGGCATTCCAGCAGTGAGTGAGATACCCCAGGCCTAGGGAGGGGATTTGCCTACCTGGTGTGGGCTGACACAGCTCTAAAACCCACAGGTTCGACCGCATGGGAGCAGGTGGCCCACTCTTCATTGATGTGACGTGGCACCCCGCAGGGGACCCGGGATCTGACAAGGAAACGTCTTCCATGATTATTGCCAACACTGCAGTCAACTACTGTGGCCTGGAGACCATCCTGCACATGACATGCTGCAACCAGACCAAGGATGACATCACGGGGCATCTGCAGAAGGCCAAGAGGCTTGGGTTGAAGAACATCATGGCCCTGCGTGGAGGTGAGTCCTGTGATGTGCAGGGCTCAGCCTGTGCTGCTGCTGTGTTCAATTCCAGGGTAAAAACAGAGAAATAAGATTTATTAGAAGCTCCTTCTGCAAGAATTAAATGTTGAGACTGCATTTCACCTGAGCCCTTTGTTAGCAGTCCCTCCAGCTCAAGGGTAGACAGAACCAGTCCATGGTTGAAACTGCAGACTTGGGGGTTTCATCTTTGTCTTTTTTTTTTTTTGATAGCAGGAGGTTTTTACAGAAGTAGCAGATCTGAGTCCAGCAAACACTTGGAGAGAGCTGTGGATTTGTTCTCTTTTCAGATCCTGCTGGTGAGGAATGGGAGGAAGAAGTAGATGGTTTCAACCATGCTGTTGACCTGGTTAAGCACATTCGCAGTGAATTTGATGATTACTTTGACATCTGTGTGGCAGGTAAATGTCTTCCACTGCAGAGTGGGGGGTAGGGTCTGAGACAGGGAAATCAGCTCAGCATTCCCTGCCTGGACTGCTGTGACAATACAGTACTTCCTAATTTCTAGCAACTTGCCCTGACCACCAGGGTTTCATTTTTTTCCACCCCTTTTCCTCCCAAAGGCTACCCCAAAGGTCATCCTGAAGCAGAGAGCTATGAGGCAGACCTGAGGCACCTGAAGGAGAAGGTCTTTGCTGGAGCAGACTTCATCATTACACAGCTTTTCTTCCGACCAGAAACCTTTCTCAAGTTCATGAAGGACTGTCAAGCCATTGGCATCACCTGCCCCATTATTCCTGGCATCTTCCCCATACAGGTGACATCCAGTAATTTGGGTTTGGGGAGGGAATAAGGATCCAGGATGTTAAGTGTTTGTAGGTCAGGGCCTGAGAGAGAGAGAGGTCTGTAAATATCCTCCACAAAATTTCTGGGAAGTGAGAGTGCTAAACATGTGATAAGTCTGTAGGTGGTTTGCTAAATTAAAGAGGCAGGTAATAACAAGCTGAAAAGGTTTTCTATGCCCATATGGCAAAAAGGGGTAAAAGGGACAATGCCACCAGTCCTGAGGTGTTAGTTGTCACTGTCAGCATGCTGGGCTTGGACAAGGACCTAAAAATCACCAAAAGTGACATGACCTGGACCGTGTTACCATCCTGGACATGGGGCCTGGGAGTGGAATGCAGGAGACCCAATTCTAAACCTGCCACAAAATTGAGATGAAGTACCAGTGCTACGGGGATGTCAGAAAAGGGCCTTGGAAAAATACAAATCCCTTGCATCCTCCTCCAGGGTTACCACTCCCTGCGCCAGCTGGTGAAGCTCTCCAAGCTGGAGGTGCCTCAGGAGATCAAAGATGTGATTGAACCCATCAAGGACAACGATGCAGCGATCCGGAACTACGGGGTGGAGCTGGCAGTGTCCATGTGCCGGGAGCTGCTGGACAGTGGGACGGTGCATGGGCTCCACTTCTACACCCTCAACCGGGAGGTGGCCACCACTGAGGTCCTGAAGCGCTTGGGCTTATGGAAGGAGGACCCCAGGTGAGCAGAACATACTGGTTTCTGTGAGTTCCACTTTCACATCCATCCACTCATCCCTCCTTCTGAAAGCAAACAAATTCTGCTTTTTTTGCCTTTTTTGTTTCCCTTTTAGCACCTTTCTTTCTGCATTCAGAAGTTCACCCTTTTCTGTAGGTCTCCAACAAGAGCTGGGAGGAATAGAGGGGACAGCTGAAGGAGGAGTTGGGTTGGTTGGTTTAGTAAAGTAGCTTTAAAGGAGCTGTTCTAGAGCTTTAAAAATCCAGACTCTTACAGCTGCCACTTGGAAGAAGTAAGTTTTTGATGCCTGTCACAACCCCTCTTACAGGCTGGGTGCTATGTGAGCTCCCACTGTGGATTTCTAGTGTTCTCTGCAGCTGATAAAGGGAATGTGGAATTCTCTCTGAGTCCACAGGCTTCAGCATAGACAAGAGGAAGCAAAGGAAATTCTCAGTTGGTTTTTTTTTTTCCTTACAGTAGCTTCCCATAGTGCCTTGCCTTACCTTTTCCAATTCCAGGTGTCAGTGCTGTACTCTAACATTAAATAGACCCCTACTGAGCATCTTGTCAGGGAACTGCGGGGGGAATACTTTCCATAAAGGAAGAAGAATTTCCTTGTCCTATTTCTCGGCGAGCCAGAACTCTTCTCAGCCTCTGTTACTTGCTCTCTCCATGGGAAGGGCCTCGAGGCTCTAGTGGAGAGTCAGCAGAGGAAGTGTGTTAATGTCTGCTCCTCCCACGCAGGCGGCCCCTGCCCTGGGCAGTCAGTGCCCACCCCAAGAGAAGAGTGGAAGATGTTCGGCCCATCTTCTGGGCCTCCAGGCCCAAGAGCTACATCTACAGGACCCAGGAGTGGGATGACTTCCCCAATGGCCGGTGGTGAGTGTCACCTGCAGTAGGAAAGCCTGGTGCACAGTTGGTCTCTGTCAGTGGGTGTCCTGGGCACACTTTGGGCTTCACTGAAGAGGTGGCTTCCTAACAAAGTGGTCCCCAGTTGCTTGGATCGAATGAGGTGAGGAGAATGGCACCAAGATCTTGAGGTTTTTGGTGTCTAGGTGGGTTTGGTTGGATACTTCTCTTCCTGGGTGGCTGCTTTCCTGCACCACCAAATCAGGTCATCTTCCTCAGTGGCCTGTTAATTCTGTGTCTGCTCCCCTTGCAGGGGTAACTCTTCCTCTCCAGCCTTTGGGGAACTGAAGGATTATTACCTCTTCTACCTGAAGAGCAAGTCCCCCCGGGAGGAGCTCCTGAAGATGTGGGGAGAAGAGCTGACTGGTGAGGAGAGTGTCTTTGAGGTGTTCACGTGTTACATCACTGGAGAGCCCAACAGGAACGGGCACAGGGTGAGTGATGGCCCAGGAAGGGGTGGTTGGTGTGGCACAGACAATAGTGCACGTTTCCCATCGCTCCCGGTACTACATCATTCTTCTAAACAAGAATTGGCACTTCCCCATCCAAAAGGATTTTCCGGGACAGTGTTTGGAAGGGGATCCAGCAGCCAGAGCTCAAAATAAAAGGAAATTTGCTACAGTATGACAGGGCTGGTATCTGTAGACTTCAGCAGTCATTCTAGAGTTGAGCATATCCTGCCCTGTGAACCAAACCTGGGGGTTCTCTCCTGAAGCAGGTGTGTCTGAGGCCATCAGGGCACTTCTGAGTGCCTTCAACATCCAGGTGGTCATGAAGGGGTTGTTACACCCACAGTGAGCCACCCCTTCTCCTCACTGCAGGTCACCTGCATGCCTTGGAATGACGACCCTCTGGCCACCGAGACCAACCTCCTGAAGGACCAGCTGGAGAAGGTCAACAGACGAGGCATCCTGACCATCAACTCCCAGCCAAACATCAACGGCAAACCATCCACAGACCCCATTGTAGGCTGGGGGCCCAGTGGGGGCTATGTTTTCCAAAAGGTACTGTACTATTCCTGGCTAGGCAGCAAAGAGTTCTGACCCTGTTTGGCCTCTGTTGGGTTGGGAGGTCCCAGGCTTTCATCCAGATAATCTTTCTGCCTGCTCCTTATCTTAATGCCTTGTTGGTGAGATGAGGCAAAGCTCCTTTGGTGTCCTGAGACCCAGGCTATGTCATTTCTGTGGCAGAGTTCAGGGCTGTTTTCTCCTACCTCAGATCATTTATTGTTTCTTGTTTCTACTCTCAGCAAGTAATCATTGGTAACTTCTTTCTAGAGCAAGGCTGTGAAGTTTGAGATATATTTTATTCACTGCATCTGGTCCCATTCAGTGATGCAGAAAGCACCTGGGTTTTTCATAATATGGGAATCAATGGGGTAGTATCTCTACCACCCAGCTTCTCATGGTGATAATTGGGCATTTATAAATTCCCCTGTCTGTCCTTCGCTAAGGCAGAGCTCTCCACAATTGCACCCAGCCCACAGCACTGTGCTGTGCTGTTCAGACAACTGCCAGGTTCCTTCCCTGGCCTGCCAGCAGTCCTGCCTCCCACTGTCAGGCATTTCAGGCCCTAGAGCCTTGCCACTAATGGCTGTGATAGGAATCTCCCATCAAGGTAAATGCCAGGCAAGTGGCTCATACTGGGAAACAAAGCAGCCTTGTTCAAAAGGGAGCCAAACCGCTAAAGCCAGAGACCAGCAGATGGCAAATGCAGTTATGTTTTCAAAGGAAAAGATTCCCCCGAGGTGAGGGAAATCCATCATCTCACACAATAGCCAGGAAATGGGGGGAGGGGAAGCAGTTGTTGAGAGCAGCCAAGCACAGAGCAAGTACAGAATTCGGTTGTATAACCACACGGGGAGAATTGTGAACAAAAGTTCCCTGAGGACAGGGAGTGGTGCTTAGGAGAGCCCAGCTGAGACCCCCGAGTTCTGCTCTCACCAGGCTGGGCTGCCTTGGCAAGACACTGCTGTAGAACAGAGGTCAAGCTCAGGCCTCTTCCAAGCACTCTGGCACAGGCTGCTTCCTGGTGCAGCAGTTGTGGTTACACTGGAGTTCACTCCAGCCTGTCTGCTTGCATGGCTGCAAAACAGGCAGGATGTAGCTTTCCTGAGCTCACTGTTCTGGGCTGTTAGAGCTGCTTTCCCCAGTTATTTTTTTTTCCCCCAGCTCTCTTACAAGTTTGCTCTGCCCTTTGCTCAGCCCTCTCTGTAGTACATGTTTCTAAGGATGAACATGCAAGGCAGCTCAGACTCCACCATCTGTCCGTGTTTGCCTGTATTTATCTGTCCTGCAGTGACTAAAGGCTCTGATTCTCCACCCCCTTCCCCATCCCTCCCTGCAGGCCTACCTGGAGTTCTTTGCCTCCAGCGAGATCGTCACGGCGCTGCTCAAGGTGCTGAAGAAGTACGAGCTGAGGGTGAACTACCACATTGTCAACGTCAAGGTGGGCTGTGGGGCACGGGACACGTTCCTTTCACCACCTGGGGAGAGAGGCAAATATCCAAGATTCAGATATCGCTCCGAACAAAGTGGGACATGGGGGCTGATGGGGGGAAGGGAAAGTAGAGCAAAGCTGTGTTGTGCAGCAGCTGTTTGAGTTAACAAGGAGAGGGTAAATACATTTGTTCCAACTCACTCAGCTCCTCCTCCAGCAGTTGCTTCAGAAAGGTCTTCCTTCCTTTGGCAGGGCCAGAATATCACCAATGCTCCAGATCTGCAACCCAACGCTGTCACCTGGGGCATCTTCCCAGGCAGGGAGATCATCCAGCCCACTGTAGTGGATCCTGTAAGCTTCCTCTACTGGAAGGTGAGTCCTCCCTCCTGCTGGATACACTGCTGTGAAATTCAGTGTCTGGTTGGGTTGTGGTCTGTGACACCTCTCACAGTTGAGGGCTGTTGCAATATTGGCTTGCAGAGGTCCAGGTGTTGCTTCTCCTGCTCCCTCCGTATAAGGAGAACTTTGCTGTGGCAAAAGCTCTTCTCAAACACCCAAGTGCACAGTAACTTGGGAACTACCAGTGTCATTGTACAGGGCCCCAGAGTGCTGGACAGTGGCTCTCCCTCCCCTTTACACACACACAGGGGCAGCACTGAGTCATTCATTGCACTTCAAACCGTGTCTCCTTTCAGCTCAGGGCACTTCCCCCTGACTGGAAAGCAGGAGGCTCCTTGCTCAACTCCTGCCATTTTTACGGAGGAGAAGCAAGCCACAGGCTGGCCAGCCACCTGTGACACTGGGTGTCCTAAATTAAGTAACATGACAATGTTACACAACTGCCAACACTTTTTTTCCCCTTGCCAGGACGAGGCCTTTGCCCTGTGGATCGAGCAGTGGGCCAAGCTCTACGAGGAGGAGTCGCCCTCTCGCATGATCATCCAGTACATCCATGACAACTATTACTTGGTCAACCTGGTGGACAACGACTTCCCCCTCGAAAACTGCCTCTGGCAGGTCGTGGATGATACTTTTGAGCTGTTGAACTCTCCAACTCAGCAGTGAAAATCCCTCTTCCACTCTCTTACTTCCTCCTTCCGTCCACAGAGAAGCAGAAGCAGCTCTTGTGCTGGTGATGGGTAACACACTCCTAAGGCCACACTACGTGCTCTTCTGTCCACAGCACAAAGGCTCCCTGAGCCCTTCTCACTGAACAATAGCCAGAACTACCTGAACCTCTGAGCTGAGGCTCCAGACTGAGCCTGAAGGCCAGCTCTGCCCGATGAAGAGCTGCTAATGGCTGTGTTGATTACAAGAACAGAGAAAAAACTCCACGGGATTCTGGTAACTTTCCCATGCCAGAAATGCTGCCTTGGGGGCAGAAACACTCCTGTCAGCTGTGCCTATGCAAGAGGATTATTTCAGTAGTTACCAACCCGGAAAAGAAGGTCAAATTGCATTTATATTGCACTCCTAAACTGTATTTCTTCATAATTGCTCATATCAGGTTATTTTGCACTCACTCCAGAAGAAGTTTCAATATTTCTCCCTATCTTTTCTCCTTTTATTGTATTCCCTGTTTTCTTTTTAATAGGACTATGTGAACTCCAGTTCTGGATTAAGCTACTTAAGAATCAACACTATTCCTAGATCATGTATAATAAATGACATGAATACAAATGTCTCTTGTCCTAGGCTATACTCGAGCAGAGACTCATGTTGTTTGCAAACTAGTCAGCGTGGCACAAGGGAAAATTTTAAGAAAACCAACTGTTTCTGGGGCAGTTCTGCCTTCACTTTCAGTGCATGCCCTGAGTATGGCCAAAGCTCCATGGAAGAGCAGAGAAAGCTTAAAATCCTGGAATTTACCACAAGTAACCATCTTTTGGCTCAGAGCTGCACTGTTGAAGGAGTTGTGGTGCCAGTGTGGTTTCCAGTGTCTGTAGGGAAAGACAGCCTACCTTTCCTGACCTAATGACTCTTAACAGCCTTAGGCCCCACAGCACTGGAATAAGGGGTTGGGGGAGCTACTGAGGCTGCTTTGTGTACTTAATAATCCTGCCAAGCTACCCCAGGCTAGGAAAACAAGACCTCGGGGCAGTTCCCAGTGGGATTTTGAGTTCCCCGCCATGCTGTGAGCATCTCTTTCAAACAAGCAAGGAAGAAAAGCCTTTTCCAGATTCTTCAGACCCTCTTGTTACAGCTGTCTGAGGCCGGGCTCATATATCCAGGGTAATTACAGGGCATCAATCACAGAGGCAAGTAACGGGAAGGTTGGGGATCAGACACGCCTGTCTCGCCTCAGCAAAGCTTTTGGTGCTCAGCTGTTCCCAGCAGGTTTCTCCATCCCCGGCCCATTCAGCACAGAAAGGAACCAGCAGGAAGCAGTCAGGAGGTTGGCCACCCACTGAAAGGCTTAATGAAGAGCTGATGGACCTAGACAGGGGGGAGGAGGTGGGAGCCATGCGGGAATCTCCCACCGGGGGGAAGAGCCAAATCTAAAAATAAAGAGCGGTGTTTGTACCTACCCAGGACAGTCCAAACTTTGGAATCAGCAGGATCTAGCACAGGCAAACTCCTGCTCAATCTCTAAGAACTGATGTATTTGCTTACTCCCCTGCTTGATGCCAAACTCCTGTCCGTGACAGGAACACTGAGTAAAGGGAGAGCCTGTAAGGCTGTTTTGTGACCTTTAATCAGAACTCCAGTGAAAGCAGGGTCTAGAGGAGCAGGGAATGCGACCTCACAACAACGGGGGGGGGTAACTTCTCCATTTGTGCTGCTAAGGAGGTGGGGTACAAGTCATTTAAAGAGGACCTTTGACTAGGTACCATGTCTTCCTGCTTGTCCTTTGGCTGCCACCCTTCTGGCCTGCAGCACTGCTTTTATCACAAGGGCAGTGTTCTCTTTCTCGACCCCACAGGACCAACTCTTTGTTGTGACAGGAGCCACATCCTCCACGTGTCCTGAAATGAGCAGCAGCTGCAGGCAGTCCCCTTCTATTCAGCACGGTCCTTTGTCCTTGAGCTGGAATGCTGTGAGCTGCTGCCACCTTTCAAAGGCCTGAGAGAGGGAAGTGGACAAATCAAATACTCAGGTGACCCTTGAGGGGTTGCAGCCACTCTCACAGAACCCATAAACACAGCCTACCCTCTAGCAATGGCTCTGCCAGCTGCCTCACCCTTCACTCAGAGCCCTTCCCTGCCTCTCCTAAGCCAATAAATGACATGCAAAGCACAGATCAATGTGAGAGAAGAAAGAACAGTGTCTCCTCTGCCCTCTAATTTCAGTACCTGCTCCCCTCTCCTTAAAGCAGGACCTAATCCTGCATGGATCTTCGGGAGGCAGGCAGAGGAGCAAACTGGGTATGAGTTCTAAGGCTTTGCCTGCTCACTCAAATTCATAGTGATTTGCCTGCCCCTGGGTGCAAGTCAGCACAGTCCTCCTGCAGCAACGTGGAGCCTGTTTCTTCCCTGAGTGGGCTCTCCAGAGGCAGGGGATTACTGGATTAACATCACTAATAACAGCGGGGAAGGGGGCACACGTCAGGGAAATTGACTGCTGACACAAAGCTTTGAAAAACACCCAAAGATGAACCCGTGTAAAGCTGGAAGCTATTTCCCTTTGTCATTGGCAAGTCCCATTCCTTGATGTATTCAACTTCTCCCCAAGCAAGTGCTTTGTGCAGGGGGAGAGATGCAGGGAACACCAGCTGTCCCTTTGGGGTGCTTTTTGGTGCACTGAGGCCCACAGAATTGAAGCACTGGATTCATAAATGCTTACCTGGGACAGGAGGCTCCTGGCTTCCTCCTCCAGAAAATTCTGCACCACATAGCTTTGCAAATATCTTCGCCTCCACACCCTCCAGGCCTTTTCTATGAGGCGCTGCCGGTCCTGCCACAACAGACAGTGCACGGATTAATTGGGCTCTGGCAGGCAAATCAGCTCCCTTCCCTTGAGTCCCACCTTGCTTCCCAGTTGCCTTCCCGGCTCCCTCTTGAATGACTTTGCATTGGTAACAAACAGAGCTGACTAATAACAAAGCTCTCACTGTCTCCTGCAAATCCTGTGGCTAATTAAGTCCCGAAACCCTGGGGAGCTCCAGCACAGCTCCTCAGTGAATATGGACTTTATACAGGCGTCATCTTGTCCCCTGGGCAGGTCAGAGCCCCTCTCACACAGCTAAAGCCCAGAGCATGGGCTGAGAGGAAGAGGAAACCAAATGACAGCCCTTGGTAGGTTGTGGTCACCAGTGGGATGTATCAGGAACGCAGATGAGGACAAAGACTGTGATACTTGCTGTGAACTTTTTGCACAAGCTACAGACAATCTGCACAAATCATCCTGTATTGGCTTCCCACTTGTAAGAGGGGGCAAAGCACAACTAAATCTGTAGATATGCCAGTGTGCCAGGCTGGCATTTCAAAAAGAATGATGGCAAAACGATCCACAGCAGCAGAGCAGGATTTCTGGTGCACACTGGTACTTGTTAAACGCCCCCAAGTCTCATCTCCCAGGCTGCAAGCAGAGCAGGCTTGCCCAGTAACACTCATCCCTGCCACCCTGGTGGCAGCAGACACTCACCAACACCTGGGCCAGTATCACCACCTTGCTGGCTTCCTTCCACTGGTGCCACCCCCTTGCCAGACAGAGCAGTCTCCTTTCCCTCTGCTGCCGGCAAAGGACCACCGTGCGATGCCACCACCTCAGGTATTTCCTCCTGCAGGCAAGGGAGAAAAATCAGCTTTACCAGCCCAACAGCCCTACAAGGGAGCCCTTCCCTCATGGCAGCAGCAAGAGGAAGCCCAGAGCCCTCCACTCCCCTTACCCGAGACGCTCCTCATCCCACTCCTCCAAGTCCACCTCTGCTTTGTTCTCCTTGGTCCCTGCATGTGCAGGAGAAGGTCCTACCACATCAGGTCTCTCCACCAGGTGAGGGAGCCGCAGCCTTTCGGCCCTGTTTTGGTTTCTGTAGATCACCAGCCAGTGCTGAATGGCACTGGGAAAAAGTCCAGCTGGTGCTGAACCCTCTTCTCTGCTTCTTCTGCTTTCTAGGAAAGGAAAGAGCAATCACACAGGAGCTCTGAGTCCTCAGTCCTTTGGCTCAACATGGAAGCAATCCACAGAGTTTGACTGCCATGAGGTTCTACTCCACAGAGAAACCCCAGTCAACTGGGCTGGCAAACACTACTCCCCTTGCCTCCTCACACACTCCCCACATGGCCCCATGACAGGAAGAGAGGAGGGAGCTTTTTCTTACTCAGGGACCAGGACAGAGCCATCTTCCTCCTTTTCCTAGCCCCTATGAGGGTACTGCGCTGTCGTAAGCACTGGGAAAAGGCAGCTGCTCTGGTCCAGTAGTTGCAGGCCTGCAAACAGAAATAACACAGCTGCAGCCAAGAGTAAACACAATGCACACAGACAGCACTCACACAAACCAGCCTTGGAGGCACATTTATGCCACAGCCCTGCAGGTAGTTTAATGTGCTAGACCCCAGGCTGGAAACTGCACAGATGAGCTCCCAGCAGGACTGACTCAGCCCTTCCAAATCAATCGGCCTCTTTGTGGTTGGCGAGCTGTGAGCCTTTTGAAAAAAGCTGCAACTCTGACAGCTCACTCTGCTCTGCAGGGACAGTGATTATCCCATCTCATCTTTGAGCAGAGAGGAGGGAGTGCTCTCATCTCTCTGGTCAAAATGTCCCCTTTTCCTTATTGCTGTGCTCCAGATGGTTGCTGCAAGTGCCAGATTATGGGGATGAAGTTGTGTGCACGGTCTGTAAAGAATTTCAAAGCAGGGACCAAGCAGTCAGCACAAATCAAATTTTTATACAAGCCTTGTCACTGAACTCTCAGCGCCTCGTGACTCACTGAGCCTTCAGGAGGGAACAGGCAGTGAAGGAGAACTGTCTCACAGGGATCTTCACCTTACCTGTTCGACAGTGGCTGCAGATCCCAGGCGCAGGGCTTGCTGTCCCCGTGCAGCCACTCGCCAGCGGTGACAGGCTTTACCTGGAGAGGGGGCCTGCCACTCGTGGTTTCTCTCTCTCTGTTTAGCTCTCAGGAGTTTGTTCCTCCACTCAGTAAAGCTCACAAGTAAGAGATGGTGCTCTCTGACCCTTTTAAACTCAGAGAGGGCTTCCTGCTGCCTCAGACTGCACGCAGTGACCTGGGCCCAGGTGGTGAGGCACCTGAAAAAATACAAGCATAGAGAAATGGCAGATGCCTAAAGCCACATTTCCACGTTAGACCAAATCTCACCTTCTCACCCAGCCTGCAGTGTTCCACATAAATGGTCAAAGCAGGCCAAAGAGCATTCAACATGAATAAAGGCTGTTCCTATTATTCCTTCTGCAACCAACATTTATGGATCTTTCTCCATGCTACTCCTCCAGTGCCTCGTCTTTGGGAGGTTCAAGTTCAGACTCAACTACAGTGTCTTTCAGCTGAAAACTTCCCTTATTTTACTTTGGGTTCCCAACACTGTTACCTCCCAGCTATTCAAAGCCCAGGAGGATGTCTGCTTCCCTCTGGCTGTTTTAGCATTTCCTCCTCTTCAAAGGCCTCTGCAAAGAGAATCCAATATTACACTACACTCTTCCTTTGCCTCCAAAACAAACACTTTTCTTAGGCTGCCCTGCCAGTAACACAGTGGATCCCACAAAAAAAAAAAAAAAAAGGAATTAGTCAGCCTTCAGTCTTTTTCTGTGCCAGCAGCTGACCTTAAGGGTGATGTCTGATGAAGGCTTTTTCTTTATGGGATGAGAACAAAACTGCTAAAATCTCCTTCAGCATGGAACCCAGCAGACTCCTGAAGGCTGTCTGCTGAATTTAAGACAGCAGCTTGTTGTCAAGACTCAGATTTTAGTTTTTTTTCTTGGCTGTCACAAACTCAGGGCCCGTGTACGTGGGATGTACAACTCAAATCTTTACGGAGACAATTTTATTCCAAAAAAATCAGTGTCTATGGCAGTTACTATTAACAGCACTGCAAATCTGCACCCACAATAATCTCTCTGTATCTTGCAGGCTGATGCACAGGAGGCCACCCTAGAATGCAATCTGCTTTTAAGTCCTGGCTTATCCTTTTGGTTCCTCGTTCCACTCGGACTTTCATTATGCAAATCACCCCACTGCACCATAGGGCAGAGGTGTAAATACCCTCTGCCTGGCAGGCTTCCTGGAAGATCAAGAGAATCTATTGCAGGTTATCCTAGCATGAAAAATGCCCCCCTCAGAAGAGACAGGGCTCAGCCTGTACCATGTCCAGGTGAGGAATTAGAAATGCTGCCTCATCAAAGGAGACTCGGAAGGAAGATTAATGGTGGAGACACACTCAACAGGAAGGAGCAACATTAAGGGCTTCTCCCAAACACAGTTCCCACCAGGGAGCCACCACAGAGGTGGATTTGCAGAGGAAAATGCAGTTGGGTGGGGTGAGTGTAGCATCACAGCCACCAAAGTTTCACTGGGTTTTTAGTTGCTCTTTCTGCTGCAGATTTTTGTCTCCTCTCAGCCTGACCCTGCAGTTCAAAAGGAAACCTGCCAGGGCCAAACCTGCACTTCTCAAGCCTTAAATGAACCCTTGGCATAAATAATCTTATTGATTCTTATCCTCCTGAGTTATTTCAGAGAGAAACACCTGAACAATTCCTGGTTCACTGAAGCTGGACACTTCACTGCACTTCAGCCAGGCACCAGCCCCACACAACATAAACAACAAACAAAAGTGTTTTCAGTGAGAAAGCCACTGAACACAGCTAGGAGAGAAAAGAAATTAAATTCTTATGTTTTCAGGATTTGCAACATAACATAAGATTGCAAACCATACTACAGCTTCACCTATATTGTAACTAACACCAAGATGAATTGAATATCACGGTTCTTCATAGGCTTTACTGGATACTGCTTTGCTGCAGGAATATATTGAACTCAATTTTTCACATTAAATTTAAATCAACACGCTATGCCCAGAATCCTAAAAGACTCAAGTCTGTAAACATCAGATCTCTGTAAACCTCTGCCCACTATTCCTTTCAGCAAATACTGAATAATTCCTGTGAAAACAAGGCTTTCAATTTTTTAAACTACAGAAATTTGTTTTCATCTCCCTTGATTAGGGTACAGATATAACACTGCATAACTATGACCGAACACAAGTTCTGGAAAGAAGAGAGGCTTTGAATGAGAAGAATGAGATGTGGAGTGTGAGGCTATGGATAAGAGACTCTTCAATATAGAAGCATCCCCAGGGAAGTGCTCCTACAGAAGCTCCATTTACACACAAGTTAGCTGCACTTTCAAACCCAAGCCCTGCTCTGAACACAATGGATTCTCTGCTACATAAATTGCTCTTCACTCAAAGCTTCCCTCAGAAATGCTTCGAGGTCAGGAAACAAACCTGTGCAGGAGAAGACGTTCCCAGAATGAGGCAGCACGTTTCTGCTTCATTGTTTGGTAATACCATGTCTGCAGGACCAGCTTCTTCTTCTCCTGGCAGTTGTGCTGAGCCCACTGCTGCTGCAGCTCCCTCAGAGCACGATTCCCTGGGAGAGAACACATCACCCTACTGAGCTCAGTCCAAGGATTTTTCCATCACAGAGTCCAGGCAAGATCAAAGAACACATCTGCTGCAAACACCAGATGGGACCAGACCTGCTAAGATTTCCTGTCCTCTCTTTAGCAGCTAAAGAGACTTTTCAATTCAGCTTGTAGTTTTCTGTCTGCATGGCAGTCAGACCTTCTTTTTAATTTTCCCTGCAAGGGACCACAGATCACTTCCATTCTTATCTGCAAGGCAGTTTTCCATCAAAATTTGGGAGTGTTCCTTCGCCACCACTGTGTAAGTAGCACTGAGAGCACATGGAATCCCCTGAGGGACAGGACCAGGACTGTCAAGCCACCCCAGAAGACACACCCTGATCCTGCTGAGGTACAGCCTGACTGTTGGGTCTGAGGAGACACATTCACACTTGGCTGCACTGAACTCCATTTATCTCCCCAGCTGCTGAAATGCACTGCTTGAGGACTCTTTTGGTAGTGGAGGTAGAGGTGCCAAAGGAGCACCTTCCCTACCAAAGCACTACAAAGGAGCAGGGCCCTGGTCCTGCTGATAGCCAGAAGAATGCAGTGACACAGGCACTTACTGACTCCTGGACTGGTAGGCACCTTTCCAGATGAGCAGTGCACAGAATTACAGCCAAGAGGGGGGCTTTCCCCATCCCAGCCATTCCCACAGCATCCCTCAAGTGCTGCTGTGGGTGGGGTCACTCACTTTGCCAGCAGGAATGCCAGTGCTTCAGAGCATCAGCAGTGATCTGGTGCACGTGACACATGAATCTCCGGTCAACTTCCACTTTCTGGGCCAGTCTCTTTTTCCACAGGCTGAAAGCCATCTGGCAGCAATGATCTCCATGTTTTAGGGCTGCTGCTGCTTTTCTGTTCTTATTTTCCACGACCCAGTGGTGCCAGCTGAGAAAGGCTCTGAGAAAGACAAAGGTCACTGCACCGACTGGAGGAACAACTCACACAGATTCCCACCCTTGTAACTGCAACTTTAACAGCAAACATACACCAGGGAGTTTTAGAAACACATCTCATCTGTTAACATCCTTTTCCCATGAAATATCGGGGGAAATAATGGACAGGGCAAGTTGCTGGGAATAAGGTGTTCTGTTCTAGTGGTGCCAAGTAAGTCTGTTGTGCCCTTCAACTTTGGAATCAGTAGAGAGCAAGGCCAGTTTAGTGGATTAGGAAGTTACCAGGACTTGTTACCAGCAGTGCTGGCCATGCTCTAATTTGTAGGGCATCCCCTCCAACCAGAAATTATTGTGTTCAGATATGATAATTTTGAAGTGGGTAAAACCACAAAATAATGGGCTGCAAAACTCCCACCGAAGACAGAAAGACACAGCTGGGTAAAGAATTTTTTTTCTTATTTTTAAAGCAAGTGTAAAGCTTTCAAAACAGAGAGCTTTAGGAAACTTCTGGAAAGCACAATCCCTACCGAGACAGCTGAATGTTCCTGAAGTACTGCTGGACCTTTACAAGTTGTTGAGTCCGAGCTGACCAAATAATGAAGTACCTCTGCAGGCAGCATTTCTCTGCCTGCTGCCAGCAGCTCTTCACCTCCTTGTCAGAATTGTAGTCCTGGAAAGCAGAAAGGCTAAAAAGACCCTGAACTGCTGTTACACCACAGTTACTCCATGCAGCTCAGCCCTTTCTCTTGCTGCTGTGACTTCTGTGATCACCCAGCTCTCTGTTGCTCACTCACACACCCCCCATGAACACCCAGACATGACGTGTCTAACACATCCCTTTCAAACCCTTGACACCTGGCCCATTTCCACTCAGCTGGCAAATGGTAGGCAAGAGTTACCCTGAGGAAAGCTTCAGTCTCCCAAACCTTCTGTCTGAGAGAAAGGGACAAAGACAAAACAGCAGTGAGACCTTCCATATGCTGATATTGAAACCCAAAGGCTTTTTGCTAGATTGGGCTATGCAGAAAACTCCTGTACATTTATATTTTCTGCACCACTTCCCAGCCTCACCTCTTCCCATGCAGAGTAACTGGTGATAAGCTGGTTATTATCATCTGGACTCTGTAGCACCAGAGTCTGGAACTGATCTCCAATAAACCAATTTCTTCTGCAAGACAAAACCGTTGGGGGAAGAGGGAAAGAAACGAACAGGATTAAGTATCTGGAAAAATGGTGTGAGTTGATGTGAGAGGATATCCAGAAGGGAGGAATTCAGCCAGAACCAGTCTCCAACTCACCCAGCTGCAGTGCTCTGTGGAGGAAAGGAGGTCTGCAAGCACAGCTCCCTGCCCAGCTCTGTGCACTGGTGGAGTTGCAGGAAAGAACCGTGACACGGCAGGTGTGCGACGTCCTCAGAGATGAGAAGGGAGAAGCCGTGCTGGCTGCTGTCACTGAGGCTGCATTCCTGTGGGTGAGAAGGGAGGGCCACCCGAGGTGAGTGTCCTCGTGGGGAAGCACTCAGGCAACAGTTCTGACCACGCCATTTACTCCTCTTTCTCACAAGGATTCAGGGAAATCCAGAATGCATCCGAAGGAACTGCAGGCTAGCAAGTACAGCTCTGGAGTGCTGTAATGATGGGAAAGTTATTTCTGTACTGAATGCAGAAATACAGGTATTTCTCTACTGAGGAAAGAGCACATACACTGTCACAGTGAGGAGGCTCTTTACACCTCATCCCTTCCACCTTGCAGCCACAAACAGAAGCAAGTGTGCAAGGGAACCTCACCAGCTCAGCACCTTCCAACATCACTAGATGATGAACCAGAAGAGGCACAGAGAGCATTGACTTTACACTTTCTGATTCCATTTCAACTCCAGGAACCTGCAGATTCAGTGCTCCTCAGCATTAAATTTTAAGCACAGTTTGCTGTTGGCAACATCACGTTAAAGCAGAAATTTTCACCTGAAAAATTCCAGCAATTTAACACCTCAGAGCAGCCTGGATGTCTCAAGGCCTCCTCACCTTTTCCAATGAGCTTTGAGAGTTCAGAGTAGCTGCAGCACTGCTGTCAAAGCCAGATGATGTTGAGAGGTCCTCAGAAAACAGCGTGGCATGAGGCTCCTCATTAACAGCTCTGTGTGAGTTCTTAGAACTTTGTTCAGCTGTCTTCAGCATGAGGTACTTTTGGTGCCACAGTTTCAGAGCTTTTCTGAGTTTACACTGCTCCGAAGTCTGAGAGAAATAACTGGGACAGAAGATATTGAGACAGCAAAGTGTCAGAAAAGGGATACCACAGGGGGACACTTGTACAGACAAAAAGGGGTAAAAGGGGTTCTTCCAAAAGGATCAGAAAGTCAAGGGGACACTACTAATGAGGGCAGGCCTCAAGGAACTGGCTCTTCTGCACTCACTCAGCTTTGTGATGCTCGCACAGCCTTGCTTTCCACAGCAGATACGCTCTCTGCAGCTTCAGCTTTTGGCAGATGTCATCAAAAGAGCAGTCTGTTCTCTCCAGAAACTGTCTCTCCACAGTCCACCATGGCTGAACTTCAGGCCTCTTTGTCACTCTCTTGTCAGCTTCTGAGCTTATAACTGCTCCTTAACCAGACAATAAAGGAATAAGAATCATTTGTCAGATGACATTCCCAACTCAGCCCAGCCCCCAAACTGCTTCTTTTCAGCAAGGTTTAAGATTTCTGCCAGGTTTATGAAGCAGATCAACAAATCTCCCTGTAGCTTCACTGACACATCCAGAACTAGTGTTCTGCCCACTCTGGTTTGTTCATACCCTGGACCATCTGAGCCCCTCTGTTACCAGGCTGTTTTCAGCTGGTTTTCACTGTACAAGAAGAGGAAGAAGGCACCTAAGCACCTCCAAGTCTCAGATTCTGCACAGATCCCAAGCTGCTCACCGTGATGCTGCCTCCATTGCAGGAGGAAGAGGTTCACCACTGCCTGCTTATCACCTTCTTTGACCTGCAGCATCTCAACCCACAGCTGGAAGTGCTTCCTCAGTGATACTGCTCTGAAATGGGCCAGGTTGCACCTCTCAAGTGCCTTCTGTTCAGCAGCCTCCTTCCATGTGCTGAAGCATCTGAGAATACCAAAGGCAAATAAAAACACATTAAAAACCCCATTTACAAGCTTGTGTCTCTTTCTGAGAGTGAGGAGATGACAGAAGTTGTCATCTCCTGAACTTCTATTTGTTTATTTCAGCAAAAAGCCACTGTCATGCTCAAAGCACAGCAGCACAGTGGCTGCTCTTGGGTTTGGTCTTTCAGAACATCAAAGCTCAGGACCAAAAAGCTTTGGCCGTGCACAGGAGGCAAGTTGTAACATCTCTGGCCACAGTAGTTCCTCTTCATGTTTCTATCCCTACTTTCATCCTTATTAACTCCTAAAACAAAAGGATACGTGGCTTTAGGATGGAACAACACATCTGGGTTGGCTCTGTTATTCCTTGGACCTTCACAGTGAGCAGGCTTTTCACATGAAAAATAGACCCCCCTCTCCCCAACTCACCGGGAGACTGAGCTTCTTTGGATTTGAGCTGTCAGTGCTAAAAGCTGCTGCATCTCCAAGCATCGGGAATGCCACATCCAGAGAAGGTTTCGTAGCTTCTTCCTTTCCAGCAGGGCACGGGCTTCCGAGAGCCTGATCTCCTCTTTGGTCAGCACCTCCTTCTGCAGGCGCCACAGTCTGAAAGCTGCTGCGTCGCAGGGCGGGGAGAGACCACAGGGAGGAAAACAACTTAGAAGAATTTCTAATGATTCAGTGTCACACAGGAAACGTTCCCTGGCTGAACTCCAGCTGCCTGGGAAAATGAACTTAAGGGAGGCAGCTCACACTGCTGGAGCAAGAGCACCTGCTGCAGCTGAATTCACACGAGGGACAAGGTAAAAGGTGTATGACATGGTGAGAGGCCACGCTCCACCACCACAGACACTGGCCCAGCTGTTGGCAGAATTAGGTTCTGAAAGAGGGCAAAGCAACAGCTACACACAAACCAAAAAACATGGTGAAACAGTGATTACCTCCATGCTGTTCCAAGGCTATGGAATGTGTACTTACCAGCCAGGCGCCTCATGTCTCTGATGGCTTCAGCTCTCCAGCAGAACTCATTTCTCTTACTATGACGAAGCTGTGTCCACAGCTCTCCCTCCACCCTGAAAGAGGCACAAACATGCTTTAACATCCAGCTGAACAAAAAGGCACTCACAGAACAGAATCCAGAGCTTTCTTGTCTGGACTTCTCTTTTTGGACTTCTCTTTTTGTCTGGACTTGTTATTCTGCCTTCAGAATCAGAAGGCTCAACAAAATGTTTTTCTTTTGACCCTCCTACTGTCAAACTACTGCAAGAGACTTCAGTATTGCCTCACTCCACACACAGTAGAGACACTACTAATGCTAGAGTACTGTAGTATTGCCTCATTCCAATCTTGTTTACACCTGTATCACATAAGCATGTGATAGCTGAAGCCAAGAATTAGTACAGGAGTATTTCTGTCAGACACTCAAACACCAGTGCACAGAAGCTCTGAAATAAGATTGTTTAATTCCTAAAACGAAGTTACGAATTCTTGCAGTGTTTATCTATAGTAGTACATCCCAGGACATGGAAATGAGTTTGCCATCACCTGAGCTTGCCTTGTTCAAGGTAACAAAAAGAGAACGCTCTTGGCTTACCTACGAGCCTGCTCTGCTTCCTTTGGGTATCCTGTTGTAAGCTGATGCTGAGCTGAGGTTGTCATAGTTGCTAATCTTCCTACTCCAAACCCCCCTGCTGATGAACTTCGGGTATAAGAATATGGCTCAGGCTGCAGAGAGTCCTTCTTGCTCCATTTACCCACAGCTTCCTTCCACTGAAGAAGAAACCGTGCGATCAGAACAAACTGCAGAGCACCGGGATCAGCGGCCCCATCACTGAGTTTCACACCGGGTCCCCCTTCCTCCTCCCTATCCCAAGAAGATTTCTGCCCTCTGGGACTGCACAACAGAAAGCTCATGGCACCATCCCACTGCCCCTAGCCCATCCTCACCCTGTGGAAGCTGGCAGCCAGCAGAGTGTTAGCATGTCTCCGCCGGGCCACCTCCAGCTGCGTCCTCCTCCAGTGCGCAGCCCACTGCAGAGCACCGAGCCCCTTCCGGAGCAGCTGCTCGCTGTAGAGCTGCCAGGCTGCAGCCCTTTTCCAAAGGACGTGTCTCCTCCAGGCTTGGAAACACCTTCTTAAGATTTCTCTGTCACACAAATGCTGGAAACTTAAAAAGAAAAAAAACAAAAGTGAGCTCCAGTTAACAGAAAGGAAAGTTAAACCAGCCAGGAGGTGGCAATCAGAGTTCAGCCATCAAGCTGTAAAGAAATTGTTTCAAGTCGTTCTCTCTAAAGAGTGAAAAAGCTGCAGTCTCTCTTCAAGTTAAGGAACCATTAAACTGGTAGCAACCTCACACACAGGTCACAAATTTGAATCTGATCTCATGGATAAGCCCAGCTCTTGACCTTCTTTAACCATGCAGTGAGCACGCTGGAATTTGCTGCACCGAAGAACAGCATTGATGGTACCAATGCTTTTTGTTGCTAGCAACAACCAAGGCTGAACTTAGAAAACAGAATTTAAAAGACACATAAATTATTTTTTTAGATCAGACTCAATTTTAGAGACAAGACTCTGAAAAGAAAGGGATGCAGGCCCTCAGCCAACCACAGCAGAATAATGTAGGTTAAGTCCTAAAACCAAATGCTCCTTAGCCCCTTGCAGCACTTCTCCTCCTCTGTTAACTACCAGCACATTCACACATAAACACAGGTTTTTTACCTTTGTTCATTCACCTTCAATGACCAGAAGCTGTTCTCAGAGACCTGCAAACAGACAAAAGACAGTGACACACAATTATTCCCACTACTCTGCTCTGCTGAAGGATTTGTCTTTGTGGCACAAGTCATTTTGGCTGGACACCAGAGCAGAGCTGCCTCAGGGTCAGGTATTACGTCAGATGCCTTGGACACTGCCCCCACCACTGCTCTGGGAATACTCTCACACACTTCAGACATGGAAGAGCGCAGCAAAACTGAAATCTTAGGGCCCTGCAACCACACAGAGTAAAAACCAGTTTAATGCTTTCCCTCAGCATGCAGATCCAGAGAACATAAACAGGTGTTTACATTCCTAAGAAAAACCAAGTTAAAAAGCTGGTCTTTAGGAAGAAGGAGATAAGATGGAAAGATGCATCTGTTGGGATGGAGCAGGACCACAGGAGAAGATTCTGGCCATTCAGTACCAGGTGAAAACTACAGGACAAGCATCCCCATCACTTGTACCTCAGCTCTGCACCTCTAGCAAGTGGCAGAAACAAGCACAAGCAGTACCTGTGACCAGGGATGCTTCGCAGTGAGCACACCCTCACCTCTCTGGACACAGTTCCCTGTGTCTGGCTCCCTTCTTCACAGCACCGTGGTTCTTTGGCACTCCTCTCCACAGAGTGTTCTTCAGACTGGTTGAGACTGGCATCATCTTCCAAATTCCTCCAGCTGCTTTGGTAGGAGTATTTGTTTGTTTCTTCTCTGCTCACATTCATAAAATCTATATGAGAACATTCACCAAAGCCTTCACCCTGAATCCCCAAAGGGCTGGACTGGCTGCTGCCCACCACAGCCGAGCTTCCGGCTGCTCCTGATCTGGGGTCACACACATCTTCTGACTCTCTGATGCACTTAACACCAGGTTCAGAGTTGTTGACTTCTACAGACTTAACACTAAGCTGCTGGCCTGGGCTAAACTCTTTATCTCCAGGAGGAGAATCGACCCTCACACACACTTCCTGCGGAGCTCCATACATGGCTACACCAACATTCATCTGAGCCCCCCTGAAATCTGTCTCCAGTGACACCCGCAGACCCTCTGGATACAGACTGCCTGGAAGGTCTTTCTTCCAAGGTTCATCACACAGAGATGCCCTGTTAGATGTCTCTTCTCCTTTAAGAACCTCTTTTGGGGAATGACTTTCTGTGTGAACATAAACACTAGCAGTTTCCAGAGCTGGCTTTGCCGGGGACTCCAATCTGAAATAAGGGGACCAATTGTAGGAGGATTCTGCTTCTGGATCCGCTAGGCTGCCAGAGCCCACTCTAAAAGCAAGGGTTTGTGGTTGGATGACACCTGAAATTTTTATTCTCCACGTGTTTGAGTCCACGTGCCCATATCTGTGAGAGACAGAGGGAGGTTCTGCATGACTGAATTCCCTTGCCACTGCAGTAAGGCTCCAGTCTTTAGCAAAGGGGACACCCCATTTCAATCTTGCCTGGGCAGCACTGGTTCTGCCTGCAGCTAGATGTTCTCCCACGGTCAGGATACCGGGAGCTGCATCATCAGGAGCCAAGTACAAACGGCCACTGACTGGAGAAGACCTGGGCTCCAGAGGGAGGGAGCCCCGTATCCCCATCCAAGCGCTTTCTTGCTTAAGCCTCTGGACTGAACAGTACAAGCTAGCAGAAATCTGGGAGGATTGCAAAAGAGACTGAAAGGAGTCCAAACCAGATGGATTGAGATCCCCCGAGGTCAGGGTTGAACTACCACAAGCATTCACACTTTCACTATAGCTCCTTGAAGAGGGACACACCCCTACCTCACGCCTAAGAGAGAAATCTGCAGTGTGAGATGACAAATGTGCATTGGCCAGGGAAGGGTTCACAGGATCCATACAAGAAGCAGCCAGGAGGCTGATGCTCTTGGTTTTTCCACTGGATAGTCACTATTCTTGTTCCTACTTTGTAAACAGTGATGACAAGGAGTGTGTGTGGAGCAGGGACGAGCTGCCTTTGCTTCCTGACGGTGTTGTTGAGGAAAGTCAACACTCACTCCTTCTCCCTTCTAAACCACAAGCCTCAAGGTGTGAGAGACATTCTCAGCAGGGAGCACTGACAAATCAAGATGGGGACTCTGTGAGCCACACACTTGTTGTGCTGCAGCCTAGAGCAGAGACTATTCTGCTGCAGGAAGCAGAAACTGGAGAACTGAGTGGCAGTGTCCTGGAACGGCTGAGAAGGGCAGGAGAGATTAGTCTGTCTCAGACTGGGATGTCTCTTCCCAGGTGAGAGGTGTGGAACACAACCAGCCTTGTGCTGCTGTCTGCCTGGGCTTACGCTGAATGCTGCAGCCTCAAGCCAGGGATGAGAAATGTCTACTCGACTTCTAGTGCCCAAATACAGACCAAAATTCAGGTTCTTCTGAATGTTTCTTTGCTCTGAAGAAAAAGAAGAAGAAATATAAACAAAGGAGCACGTGTATTTCCCGTCACATCTTGCCTAGTTTGCCAAAGGCTTTCGGTACTTTCCTTATGAATTCCTCGTCTCAAATCCACCAGCCTCACTCTTCAAAGTGTTACAGACACTACTCTCTTCCTGTTTCTCAGCAGACAATTGTGTCTGGCAGAGCAGGGATGACTGAAAGGGACAGATTCAACTCTCAACAAAAAAACCTGGAAAACAAAGACTTCCAGCATTATGCACCTGCAGCCTCAAAAAGAACTTGTTGCTAGCAAGGCAGAATTATCCTGCTGTCACGACAAAAAAAGCAGCTTTTCCTGAGTGCTTCACATCTCACCAGATCTACACGACACCAGTCAAGAATAGGTCTGAAAGAAAATGTTTTCACGGAAGTCAGAGCACTATGGTTCCAGCTGGAGTACAATGCTCTTCACTGACTGGAAATTCACCTCCAGTCTCCTCCACACTCATTATTTCCTCCAGGGCTGATAGGAGAGGTAGGGCCTCGACTTAAGGTTCTCTTTCACTGCTTAGCCAGTGAACATTTGTCCAAGCATCATGCTTCAGCCCTGCAAAGGTTCAAGGCTCTACAGACTAATTTCTTCTTGTCCATGCTAAAGGATGAAACCATGTTCACACATCCAGAGAGCCAACATTGTCCCCCTAACCTGGAACAGTTACAGCACAGCTGGGAGACCTAATTTGCAGTCTAGCCACTAATGGTTATACATGTAACACTCATGCTGACAACAGATTCCCAAGTTGCTGCTAACAGGTAAGTGCAATTTGAGGGGACTGTGCTTTCATTCCCTCAAATTTTAAAAGCAAGTTGTCAATCACTGTCATTCTAACTACCATTCTTTTCCACCTCTCTTTTGAAAAGTGAAAATGGTATTGTATAAAGACACACACACCTCTATCATGTTAAAACCCCTAGTCAATCCGAAAAGAGACAGCACAGCCTATGAAATCAATGCCCATTGTCTTTTTCAAGCACACTCTAATCCCAGAAAGCCTCCTGTCAAATTGCACTCTGTTTCCAAACTGTGTTTATCTCATTCTCTTCTAAGGAAGCGTTTGAGCCTCGGTTATCCCTGTTTGTAACAGCCCGCTTGTCCCTCTCACGTGCAAACTCCTTCAGTAATCACCACAAACTGGGGAACAAACTGGGCTCCTAAAGCAGCAGGAGACAGTCAGGCAGTGTTGCAATTATCCCTGGGAACTGCTGTTACTGCCTTTCATACATCACCGAGGGTGCCATGAACGGAAAGATCCCATTATTTTTTCCAGCTAAGTTGAAGTTGGCAACTACAGAGTGAACAGACAAAGCACAGCTGCCTTCCTTGGGGTGCCCATCACTGCATGAAGTATAACCACAAAATGCAGTGGACTGGTGTTCCATGGAAGCACTCCCTGCATCCCAGGAATATTCAGCCAACAAGCAGTGTATCACAAAAGGGTGTTACAGAGGATTTAAATTGTGAAAGGACGTGAAACCACCATGTTTATCGGTGCTGTTTTGCTCTGTGAACACCCAGCCCTGGACTACTTTATGCTCAAGAACCTGGACATAATCTGTTTTCTTGACAACTCATTTGATTTTCTTAGCTCTCCATTTCAGTTCTTTCTGCCAGGTACCAGGTTCTCAACACACTGCTATGGTTATTTTAGGGTGTGTCCTTTATCTCACTCATTCCTAATTTCAGTCTCATCAAGATTTGGAAGAAATAGCATCCTTTAAAAATCACGTTTGTCTGCCTTCCCAAAATTGCCACTCAGGGCTTTAACGCAACCACTTTTAAGCAGTACTTAATCTTACTCTAAAGACAACAAGATGTTATGAAGTGCCTTTTTAAAACTTCTCCAATGGCCAAAAGAGATACTCAAGGCAAATTACACATTTTGTGAAGTGCAAAATCCATGACCAATAGATTTCATATTAGTTTTTATGTTTCCAACGCAAACATTTAATGCATGCTTACTGTATAAACACATCGCAGAAACACACTAATGCTTTAAAACCTGAAACAAATCCAATTAAGCAAATAAAAGATGATCGAATTCTTTCTGCTGTTATAAGCAAAAGGAAGTAAATAGCACAGTTCATGAAAAGTAAATCAAGCTCTTTCAAGTGAATGCCACTTCAGCAGTATGATCACAACGCCAGACCCATAATAAACACATAAGCGCTGCCGTAACGCTCATTTTCCCATCCCTGCAGACCAAGGCTGATCCATCTCACGTTCCAAGTTGGGACCGGTGTTTAGAACGACACCACTCTTCACGTGCCTTGGAAACGAGGCTTTTCCCCACTGCTCAGCCTTCCAAACCAAACCACTGCGAGATTTCACAAACACACAAGTGGAGCCCCCTCACCAGCTGCCTCCATCCGAGCACCAGCGCTGTCCTGGGGTGCGGTGGCGGCAGCGGGAAGCCCATCCCCAAGCCCCCCCTCAGCACCCCCGATGTCTCCACGCTCCTCGTGGGCATTTACTCACTCTCAGAGTCGCCACTGTGGGGCCCTGCCAGGACCTGGGGGGCCGGCCAGGCACCTCCGTGTCAGCACATCCTTCGCAGGGACAAACCCTCCTCGTCCCCCTCAGCGCCCGGACCCCGCGCCCGCTCCAGCTGGGGCTCCGTTAAGAAGCTTATCCCGGCGATTAGCAACGCTGCCGGTCACCGGGGCTGCAGATGGTCGCGGGAAAGCCGCTCTACCCCACGGCTAATTAAAGCCGGGACCTGGCCGGGGTGAGGGCGGCTCAGCCCGGGGTGAGGCTGTACCTGTCCCGGGCAGCGCCTCAGGGCACGCGCCATCTTCTCCTCCTCCTCACCCCGACCCCGCCACCGCTGAGGGAGTGAGGGAGGAACTCGACCTGGTGATGCTGGGGAGCTGCCTCAGGGCACAGCAGGACCTGAAGAGTTTAAGAAACAAAGCAAAACCACCCGAATGGAGCGCTGCACCTGTCTGGGTGAGGAGACCCCGCTGAGAGACTCTTGAGAGCCCCGGGGATCAGCGAGGCCATGCTCTGGCACAGCAGCTCCATGAATCCCCTCACACCCTGTACAAACGCTCTCCTCCTCCTCCAAAGACAGGAGAGGTGTCTGTTTTTATCGCCACCTCTCTGATTTTCTGCCCAAAATAGGTATCCTTGAGGCACTGCAAATGTCGTCTAAGTCCTGCCTTGCTCTGCTCCCCTGAGCTCCCAGATGTGCCAAATTCTCCACAGAAAAGCACACAGCTTTTCTGTTTGTTTTAGAATTTTACCCGAAAGCTACAGCAGGGCAGATTTATTGTGCATAACATTAGAGTTTATGGTTCATCGCACTCCACAGAGCTCACCTCTTCAGTGTAAATAAATCCACCTTTTCCCTTCCCCAATCCCTATTTTACTAGCCCACCTTCCCACCCACATATTTACAAGCAGTACCTTCTACTTGTTGTAGTAAAGCTTAGACTAAAAGCCATCAGAGCCCTGCAGACCTTTCCCCACAATGATCCTCCCAAACTGCCTGGCTACAGTCCCAAACCCTCAGGCACAGCTACATTTTCAAATGAGACATAAGTGACCAGTTTAACTTTTTCTAACACAGAAAAACTGTGTTCATTTTATAGTTTTCTTAGAAAAAATGTAACATTTCAAGTTCTGTTAAGACAGGCAGCTGAAGGCAAAAGGACATTTCAAGGCACAGAGTATCTATAACCTACATTCAACAGTCATTTAAAGTATCCTGAAGGACATTCAACTTGCATAAAAGCATCAGTCAATAAAACCCAAGACCAGATACTGGGAGCACAAACAGCTCCCTGGCCCAGTTAAGAGCATTTTATACCAAGCCCAGCTTTGTGCAAACCACCACAGCTAACAATGGGAGTTATAAATCTTAGGAGGTCATAAATCTTACTTAAATAACACCATCAAAAACAGCTCTTGAGAACTCCCAGATGTTTCCTGGGAATATATCTGCATAAAAGCAGGCTAACTGCATTGTTTAAGGGCAGTCCATAAGGCTTTTAAAGACAGTTTGTCCAGGGGTACTTTCAGTGGTTCCCTTACAACAAAGAGGATGCAGAATGGAAGACTGCAGAAGGTGCATCCAGTCACACATACTGAGGAGGGACTGAGGAGGAAAGTACTGGGATTACAAGGAGTCACAGTGCTTGACATGACACCTTCGGGATCTTCTGGACTTACTGCAGGAACCCATCTGCCCAATCTTCAGGGAGGCAGAAGAAGTCTCAGATCCTGTCCTGTTTGCTCAGCAGCAGGTGTGGCTCCATGAGAACAGAGAGGGGGAGAGCAGAAGCCTTGGCTGGGCGAGGGCAGTGTCCATTCAGGTGCTCCAGGTGCCTCAGTAGGGTGGCTGGGCTGCCTTGCCCGGGGGAGGCCACTGGGGAGGCGCTTCTGGCTGGTCAATGGGCTCGTAGGTGCTGCGATCCTGGCCTGCACTGGGGACACCTGGATGGAGATGGAAGAGAACAAGCTTGGGAACAATGCAAAAGCACAAGAACAGTATCCTCTAGGAGAAGCAAACAGCTCAGGAGCACACCACATTAGCTGCCCTACCAGCTCCACAGCACCTACCCCTCTGTGATCCTCACTACACAGGGAGGAGGCAATAAACTCATCCTTCCAGCAAAGGGAAGCTCACTGCTTTTGAGCATGCCTCTTCATTCCTTGCCCACTGCTCTCTTAGTAGCCACATGGCTGTGTGCAAAGCAAGACCCACAATACCCCACTGCAGCATTACAGGTTCCTGTAACAGCATATTTCAGCCAGAGCAGCGCACGAGAGCTCATGGGAAAATGAACAGACATAGCCAGAAGCAGCAGGAACCATGGCCAGCTGACAGCATGGATTTAAAGGCATGATTCATCCCTGAACCACTCCTCCCAACAATGTAGCCTGCACACCACGGCACTAAATTTGAACCCAGCAGTGCTCCCAACCGCACTGTGAACAATTTGTCTGTACAAAATCATGTTACTGTCCAGGGGATGAGCAGGGAAAGAAGAGAGAGAGAGAGAATGTGCATGGACAGCTCTTTATCTATGGACCAGGCACCTGCCATGGGGAGAATCACATGTAGGCACCAAACCCTATGAGGGGTTTGTTCTAAGCAGCAAAGATGCTGCCAAGCAACAAAAAGGGATTTTGTGTGGAAAGAAAATGAGACACAGAAGACTAGGAAAAATGAAACACTGCTGGGTGGAGAAGGAAAATGCCAGATAGCAGGGAAATGAGAGGAAATCTGTCAAGCACAAAACAGCACACAGTTTGAAAAAGTCTTGAAAACCTTGTGAGAAAGACAGTTCAGGAGAGGATGTGAAACTACAAAGTGTCCAGCTGCTTTTTCTCTGGTGCATAATCCAGCTAGAGGAGATACTCCATCTACTTTTCCCCAGAGGGAAAAGAAAGGGTTGGCAAAGAAAGGACACCCAAAGGCTTCCAACATGCACACACAAATGCAAGAGGAGGAAGAGAGGAAAGGCCTCTCACAATACCATTGTGGGCAAAGTGGCTGTCAGACAAGGACTCCAGGTCTGCATGGGAAGAGAGAAAGAATATAAATTTAAGGCCAAAAACACGCCAGAAACACAAAATGGGAGAACAGACATGGGCAAGAGAGAGCAAGCACCCCACTGAAAGAGGGGCAGAATTCTGCTGCACAGGGCTCAGGCTGAAGGGTCCAAAGAGCAAGGCAGACCCCTCAGCACCCGAGGGGAAGGCCCACACTGACAGGGGGTCAGAGGGAACACCCTACCTATGTTCAAGGTGTACTCTCCTCCACGCTCCCGGTACATCCGATACACCAAATAGCAGGCCAGGGGTTTGAGGAGGAGGCTGAAGATGGCCATGCCCACGCTGAAACGCGTCGTATCACCGAGATGGTCGTGTGCAGGGTAGAAGACAGAGATGTGAATGATGTCTGTCAGCACTGTGAGCAGCAGGCCAGTCAGGAACTGGAACGAGGAGAGAGAATGGGACATGAACTGAACAGGGGTTTAACCACTACAAGTAACAGCCAGTGCCAGAATGTATTTCCTGTGAGATCTGTGTTCACACCATCATCCCTCACCCCAGTATCACATGGCTAACTCTTTGGCACTGCCCCAGGTAGACAGATACTCCTACAAGAATGATCTTGTATTTTGTGCATTTTCTTCACATCTATCAGATACCTTCTCATAAAGTATTCCAGAATCATTTAATTCTGTTTGCCAATCTCCTTAATGTTCAGACAAGGGTTTTATAAAGCCCCTCCACTCAAGCATATTAAACACTTCGAATCCTCCTCTGGCATTACAAGTCACAACAGTAGGTAAAAAAAGCAAGAATCGTGTATGTTCATCTCTGAGAAGAAAAATAATTGATACTGAAAGCTTCTCACCATGGTTTGCAGAGCTTATAGATTTATACACTCTGAAAAAAACCAAACCCACCCAAACAGGGAATTGACTTGTTCACTGCTGTACTGGGAACAGCTGAAAATCAGCACTGGCTCAAAGACTCTGCCCTCCACCCTCTACCTGAGCAGCCTGAGGGAGGCCAACACCCTCACACTCACCATCACGATGGCATCGAGGGAATCTCTCTGCACAATGGCCCAGATCCCCACTGCAAGGACACTGAAATTCCCCCAGGCATAGGAGGCTGGCAAGATGTGATTCATGCATCCCCTGCCAAACAAGACAAAAAAACCCAGACCAAATTCACAACTAGCCTGCAACACTCTGTGCTCATCCCTGGTCCCATACAAACACCTCACTCCCAGGTTTAGGATGTTCTTGCACACAGACAGGCACAGAGTGGTGATTTCCCAAGAATGTCCCATTCCCAGTTTGAAGGAATACCCTCCTCTCACCCAGGCGAGGCACCAATCACTCACCACACTGTGAGCAGCCAGTGCACCAGAATGATGGCCTGTGGGAAGAAAACAGAGAGGAAGACAGGTCAGCAAGTTGGGAGGATCCACATGAAATGACACAATCTCGTCTGGAAGAGAGCCCTGGAGCCATGAACCGGTGCAGAAAGCTGGTGAGGCAACTGGGACAGTGAAGACAAACCCATTTTTCTCCCCTTCTGTTGCTGAGTATTTCCTGTGGCGCTGCACTGCAGTCGTTCATTCTTGTTGTCATCTCTGCTGACAGCTGATTCAGGGCCCACTTAGTCTTTTTCTAAATGGGTTATTGATTTTGGAACTCCAGAAGAGTTTGCACAGAAAACCAGGCAATCTGACTCACTATGCTAGCACAGTTTATACATGACCAATCTGGCATCCCATCACCAAGAAGTTCATAGATAGTTGAGCCTGCATCTCCCAGAATTTCACTCCAGTCCTCAGTAAATCCTCCTTTTACCTCCTTCCAGTCTGCTCAGAGCAGTGGTCCAACCTCCCTGCAGTATTAACAGACCTGAAGGCATCTTCCAGGACTCCTGAGAACCTGATCCTGCCACAGCACACAGCTCTTCTCACTCCTGGTGAAGCCACCAGGCCCAAATGCCAACAGTGCCCTAAACAGCAGTAAGACAATGCTGTCACAAATTCTGTACTTTGCACATGTCCCTGATGATCCTGATCCTTGTGCTCAAGGGCACAAATCCAAGAAGAAAGGACTGTACTGTAACAAGTGACACAAGCATTCTCTTCACCAGCACTTTCCATTTCTGTAACCAAGGAGACACAGTCTACATGTTTATTCAGACAGCAAACGGGAACAACAATATATCACTTCAGGCTTTTTCTGTATCTATATCCATGTGCTCACTCCCTCAGTGCCTGCTGGCCAATCCAGCAGAGAGATCTCTCATATTCTCTCTCTAAACCTTTGTGAAAATGAGAATATGGAACATGGGCTCTGTCAGCAGCCTCACCAAAGAAAGGCTGAAGCCTGAACAAATCAGAGGATCCATGAGATACAGACAATCTTCCTTTTTTTCTAGCTGTGAGAAAGGCTCCAACTGGCATTTATACTGGCCTTGGTATAAAAAAAAAAACCCTCCACACTAATAAAGCCCCTCTGAAGCACACTCCCACCCTACATAGTGAAAAAGCAAGCTTGAAATGAGGAAGTAACAAAAGCCTAAGTTCCTCAGTGGACACAGGAATGCTGTATGCAGATAGGAGCATCGGGACACTACAAAAAATAGTAATTAAGATCTACTGACATCCTGCCACATCCCTTGACTTAAAACATCTACCCATGCTCTAACTTACAACAAAACCAGCTGCTCGAGGAGAGAGTGACCTGTGAGGCTGTGACACAAGTGAAGCCCAGCCAGGAAAAGCCCTGGGGGTGGCCCCGTTGCTGTGGCTCCCACTGCTCTGCCACGGCACCAAATGCAAATCCCTCCCTGTCTTCTGCTCTTCCTTCCCTGCAGTGCCCCAGCACAGCTGCTGAGCACTCACCAGACTTCGCTGCAACTTCAAACGCCGCTCAGACAGATTTTTATTAATTAATTTTTTTAATTGTTCATGAAAGCTTACAAAATGCTTCAGCACCAACCCCCACTTCCCCTTCTCCCAAATTGCACCACGGAGACCAGGGAGAAGCTGCTAATCAGTAAAATACAAGATGTTCTTGGATAAGAATGGAGACATGCAAATAGCATTTACTCAAGAGACTATCACAACATCAGGGAAATTCTTAATTAGGTAGTATTTAACTGCATGTCACATACCCACAAGACCCCTCAAGGCTCACCAGTTAACATAATTAGGCAAGGTGGCTTTTTTTTTTTTTGAAAGCTGTCTAGATCAATATTGCAGTTATTAAATTATGAAGTATGTTTAGTCATCAGCGTGAAGTCAGGTAATCTAGGGCTGATAGTATGAGGGACTGCTGAAATAAAAACAAGATATTCCCTTCCTGGTTATTAGTCCAATTTACATGACAGCTGGAATTAACTGGTGGTCTTGGTATGATTTAACACAGAAAATATAGTGTTAATGAAGAGCTACAGTCACCATGTGAGATGAGATAATTTGTAGGCAGTCTCCTGATAAGACAGCAAGAGAATTTAATTTTTTTCCATCTGTTCAAGGCCTTAAGTCTGTACCTATGACAGACATACATTTCTTGAGAAAATAACTCCTAAGACTTGAACTAGGGCTGGGAGCAAAAAATAAGAAAGGTGGGTCCTTTGTCCCCATCCCTTCTGTGCAGAAGGATGACAATGGGATTAAAAGCATCCCATTGGAAAGTGGGGAGAACTAAGGGGAATTCCTAGCTCCTCTGCAAATCCCAGCATGTGATAGAACTAATTGCCAAGTATAAAAAGAGACTGGGTCTGCCTGGGTCTCATTAGATGGGAAGCTCTTTGGAACAGGAATTCTTTTAGACATGCTTCAGCACAGACCATAGCACGAGGTTGAATTTTGACTAAGTTAAAATTTACATGGTTCCAAATTATAATAATTTTCTTGTTGTATCTAAATTTTTGGTTTACTTTTTTTTTTTTTTTGAGTGAGCTCATCTATCCTGTGAGTGACATATTCACCTGAGAACACACTACCCAAAATATAGATGTGAGTGGCCACCTGTGAGGATGCTGCTCATTATTATAGCAGAGGGATAATGAGAGTGGTTAGGCAGTGGGACAGGCCATCCAACAGGGTTGTTGTGGCTCTGTTCTTAGAGAGTTTTAAAACTCAGCTGAATTTTGAGTTGAGCTATTTGATCTCACTCTGCAGTTTGCTTTGCTTTGAGCAGGAGGTTGAGCGGAGGTCTCTTATTATTCTGTGATTCTGTGACCTAGCATTTAAAAACGCCTAAGCACAGAATGTGCGTTTCCAGGCACACTGTCCAGGCTTAATCAAAGTCAAACTCTGTATTTTGAGGCTCTCCACAATTATTGCAATGATCCCAGATGTCGAGTTTTCATGGCAAAAGTAGGGCTGTGCTGCTTCCCACGTTTTGCTGAGCATTTGTTAGAACCGAGCATGTTCCTCATCCACCCTAGGGCAAAGCCTGCTACATTAATTTTATAGCTCTGCAAGCAGCTTAAAGAGAGGCCTCAAGGCTGAGATATTGCTACATTCTGGCACAAACACAGCCCAGTCATGCAGTTTTCTTGGAGCTACTTCTATCACGAGGCTCATCTTTCTAATCTCACAGAACCCGTAAGCAGATCATGCCAATGAATAGTAGCAGTGTGTGTTATTTCCAGGCCCTTTCTGAGTAAGAATCTTTCCCACCTTCGTGGTATTTTTTCAGGGAGTCAGGCCCTAACTCGGGAACAGTACAAAGATGCAGGTACAATTATTAACTCCCTGTTCCCCAGCTCTTCAGCTCCAGACTTGCCAGACTTGACAACAAGAAATTTCTTAAATGCTGAAAACAGTTTGCCCAGGAAAAGCTCACTCCTATCTGGTCAGAGATTGTGAAATGCTTCTCTGAAACCAGAGAAGAAAGGCAACCTTTCAGCTGTGTTGTCTCAGTGACTCACTAATTGAAAAGGCTGGGTTTTTCAGCTCCCCTATCTCCACCTCCCATGGCAGAACACGTATTTTGTGTTCACAAACTTTTAAATTCAGTTTTCACTGTTGTTTTAGCATGGGAAAAAAAAAATAATCAAACCAAGTTAAAAGACAAAGCAGAAGGCAAGATCTTTTAATCTTCCTAGTGCCCTGGGAATCACACAATAGTCCAAACTTGTCAGAGCAAAGTATCAGCAAGTCTCCAGAATGTAATATAATCCACATGCCAGGCCTTGAAGAATCCATTTGCTTACTTGCCTCTAACAAGGGAAGCTGCTTTTCTTGGTGAACTAGTAAGAGGGAGGGAAACATCATTATATGAACACTGAGCTTTTATTTATCACAGCCACATGAAAGCCCTCCTGTCCAAAGCTGAATTCATAGTGGTAGCTGAGATAATACTCTCCCCCCACCCAACCCGTAGGCAGCCTGTCCAAGGCCACTGCTCCCAGCTTAAAAAAACCTGATGTGATCAGCTTTCACTCTCTGGGCAAAGCTTTAACCACAGAAAGCACCTCAAACTTGCTGCATTAAACAAGTTACACAAAGTAGTGAAGCTGGAAAAGGGCACACACACCTAGAAATCTCAGAGCTTTGAAAATGTGAAAGACAAAAAAAATATAGAGGAAAATGTCACCTGTCTGGTATCATAGAAGCCTTTGATATCAAACACCCACATCAAAAGCAAAAAAAAGCGTGATTTTAGCATCCTCCAGCTTGTCCTCAAGGATGTGCTTCTCCCCACAGTGAAAAATGTAATGTAACTGTGGTTAAGTCGCTTATTTTTCCTTTCTCTGCTTATCAGATATTCCCTGAAATTTCCAAATTGCCCTCAACTGGAGCCTCCCCTCCCCAACAGAGAAGCAATTTCAGTTATCTACCAGATGATAACCCCAAACTAAGCAGGCTCATCTTTCTAAGATACTCTGCCTGACAAGCAAAAACTTTGCTTGCTCAGGGTCTCCTACAGTGTTTTATCTTGGCCAAACTCTGGTCAGCTGAGCTGGAAACCCTCAGGGACGCTGGTTAATAGCTGTTGTTGCCACTCGGACAATGCCCCTTCAGTCTGAGTGAACCTTGGAGTCATCACCTGACGGGTTTAGTGACCAAGACTCACAGAATACCCCGAGTTAGAAGGGACCCATTAGGATCGAGTCCAGCTCCTGGCCGTGCCCAGGACACCCCAGCAACCCCACCCTGTGCCTCAGAGCGTTGTCCAAACACTCTCTTGAGCTCTGCCAGGCTGAGGGCCGTGCCCACTGCCCTGGGGAAGCCTGTTCAGTGTCCCACCACCCTGTGGGGGGAAAAACCTTTTCCTGAGATCCAACCTGACCCTGCCCTGACTCAGCTCAGAACTTCTGCTGCCTCTCCCCACGTGATGCAAAAAAAAAGCTTCCAAACACCACTTCTTCCTCCTCAAAGGCCTCCACAGCTCCGAGCAGGGCCAGGCGCAAGGCTGCAGATGGTGGGACAGGAGAGGAGAGGGCGGACCGAGCCAAGCGCCCCGTGCCCGGGATGGTGCCCGGGATGCCGCCCGCGCCCCGCGGCTCAGCCCCCCCGGCAATCCCCCCGCTCCTCCCGGCCCCGGGGGCGGCCGGAGCGGACCCTCCCCGCCGGAGCAGCCCCTACCTTGAGGCTGACGGCCGGCAGCTCCATGGCAGCGGCCCCGGGACTGCCGGCGGGGCCCCGGGACTGCCGGCGGGGCCGCTCACGTGGGGCTGGGCCGGGCCGGGCAGGGCGAGGGGCGGGCGGAGCGGGGACACCGCCCCCGCCGTGCCCTCCGACCGGCCCGCAGGGCCTGGGGTGCCGGCTGGCGGCTCTTGCCAGCCGTGTTCCAGCGAGGGAGCTGGTCTGGAGGGGGCTCTGCCTGCCTGGTGTGTACCGCGCAGCTTCTGACCTCCCTAATGCGTGGAAATACCGCAGAGGGGTGTCAGAGGACGGTGCCAGACTCTTCCCAGTGATGCTCAGCGACAGAATGGGAAGCAACTGCCGTAAATTAAAACACAACAAGTTTCACTTCAGCATCTCAACTTCTTTACGTGTAGGGTGGCAGAGCACTGGAACAGCTGCCCAGGGAGGTCGTGGGGTTTCCCTCTCTGGAGACATTCAAACTCACCTGGACACGTTCCTGTGTCACCTGCTCCAGATGACCCTGCCTTCGATGGACAGGGGGATGAACTCCAGAGGTCCCTACCAACCCCAGCAATTCTGTGATTCTGTTTCCAAAGCCACCACTAAGTTAAAAGTGTACACAGATTATTTTGTTGACTCCAAACACTCAGCCAAACTCTTCCTGCTGCTCACACACGCAGTGCAGCGAGGGAAGGTTTGACATCACACTTGGGCTGTAATCAGTGTCCAGGAGGCCTAAGGCCTGTACAGGACTTAACAGCTTTCTGCAGGAAGAGAAGACTTTTGTGCACACATCAGTGCTGTGACCAAAGAGCGAAGAGTGCCCAAAAGCCTGTTAATAGACACCAAAATAAAGGCAATTTCAAGGTGCTGAATGTGCTCAGCTGTGTCACCCAACAGCCAAGCCAAGTTCAGGTCAGTTCAGGGTTGTGCCAGGTGCCTAGAACGGGTGGCAGGTACTTAGTGGCTTCCTTTGGCCCTAGTTTTTTTTTCTCTAGAACTAGATGACTGAACTCTTTGCATGGAGGTCTAGTACAAATCACAAGTTCTTCACTTCTCATTCTGAAAGAAAGCTTGTCCCATTTTAGAGCTAGGGGAGTTGCTAAGTGACCAACCCCACACAGTTCAGCTACAACTTCTCATTCCCTGTGCAGTTCATACCAGCAGCTCCAAGTAGGGCAGATTAACTAACAGAATCCAGAAGCCAGGATGACACCTCTCAAAGCCTCCCTCCCTTGCCCAATGTGTGCTTTACTTGTCTGCAGTGTAAGGCTGCAATGTCTGACTAGGTCAGTTCCTTTCTTGTCATTATTTATTCTTAAGGAAAAGATGGGGCCTCTAAGGGATGAGCAGGGTCAGAGGTTCATTGCAGGGCTGTATGTGGAAATTCATGAATCATCCTTCAGTCTCATTTCCAGTTCAAGCAAGAGTGTGCATGAGAATCATGCAGTGCTGAACTTGCCCTCAGACATTCTTAAGCAAGCCACAACTGTGGCCCTATCCAGCTTGTCCTTCACCATGCCCTGAGTGCTGCTGACTGCTTGTGTGCAGCACACTTCCAGATCTCCCAAGGTAAAGCATTAATTGCAAATATGAAACAACCTAGAAGATGCTAACCAGAGGAAGCATCAGAACAAAACTGACTGGCTGCATAGCTCAGAACAGCAGTAAAAAACCAGAAGTCCCCCGAGGAATCTCTGAATGTGTCACTTTCAAGTGAAAGATTGAAATATAATTCATCTATTGCCACATGACACATCAACTGTGACTTCATTTCCATTACTGTGTCTTTCAGGGACACGTTACTGTGTCTTGTAGGGAAGTCCTGCCTCTATTCACAGAAGTAGTGGCATCAAATGGGATCAATGCTAGTGGTTCCAGTAATGTCAAGGACAGGCTTTTACCATAAAAAAAAAAGGTGGGGTTTACCCTAAAAAAAGATTGAACACCTGGAGTGGGGGCAAGGCTAAAGAGAGACTGAATAGCCATTTTACTGGCTTAGTATTGGGTGTGAAGTGCACTGGGATGCCCTTCTGCCAGGACAGGTATCTGTCAAAGGAGAACTGTTTGCTATAAAGACAAATCCCACTGTCCCAGCTGAACCATAAGCACTGTTTGGATGCAGCAGTGTGTGGGTGTCTTTGCTCCCTTCAGCATTCTCACTCAGTGTGAGTGAGACAGAGTCTCATTATCATTTATGCAGCCTGAGCCATAATTGGGATTGATGTGACCGCCGTTGAACGCAAAGCATTCCTTTCCCCTTGTACAATAAAAGCACTTTACTTCATTTTGTTCATCAATGTATTGTGCAATTAATTCAGCCCTGCTTATTATATCCTGGGCTTGCATGTCATGCACTCAAGGGACTTAGAAATGTCTTAATGATCTCGTGGATGTGAAAACAATGAGTGCTATGACAGACATTATGCATTTGCACGTCTCTCACACCTATGAGATCTGGGGGCTGGTTGGTTTTTATCTCTGCCTTGTGCTGCTTGTACCTTGTAAATTGTCTCTGTTCCCTTCCCCTTGATAAAGCAGCACAAACATGGAGAAGAAGATAAGCAGCAAGTTAAAGAAGACCTGCAGGGAGAATCAGGCAATCCAGGAGACTGGAATCAGGATATGGAAATTTTTATGACTACAAGACTGGTCCAGGTGAGTTCAGCTCACTGCAACTAATATCCAGCAATTAGATGCTTTATGCCAGTTGATGATATGCCTTGTGCAGACTGAGTGAAAGCCTAATATACAGCTGGCTCCCTTCCTGACAGCATAAAAGTGAGGCTAATAAGGCAGAAATGCCTTCCTTTGCATTTTCAGGACGCTCTACCCTTGGTGGGTAAGGTGAAGCAATTCCACAGGGAGGTAAAGGAATTGATACAATTGCTCCTGCTGTCCTTACCTGGCCCAGGGGAATGGAGACAAGCTCACCCCTCATAGTTCTGCCCTCCTCACCCCTCTCTCAGGGTCTGCTCTGAAGGAAACTAAAGGCTGCAGCTGCCACCAGTGTCTCTGAGCTGTGCCCCTGGCTATGGAGCTGAGAGCAGTGAGGGCACCAGCTCAGCACAAATACACGTATTAGCCATGGAGCCTTTCTGAATAAGCAGTGGGGAAGGGCACATAGAAGTTACCTGGCTCTACAAACTCCCTTCTAAATCCCAGTGGACAATAGGCAAGCAGAACCATTACCTGGATTGGGGGGGAGGGGGAGACTGAAGGCATTTTGTAATGCTGGTGAGGAGCCTCCACCTGCAATGTCACTGCAAATGAGGCTGTGGCAAGGTGATTTGGGGACTGGAGAGGGTCACACTAATGTGGTGTCTTGACAAGCTCACTTGAAAGTCCTTTCCCATCTCAGCAGTGACAAGCTGCTCCTCTGATTTTCTAAAATCCAAGTAGAGCTTTGAGGTATCACTGAGGGACTACTCTTCAAGATTCACTGACACTCTAGAAAATGAACTGACACACCAGAAGCGGGTTTATGGAGTGCATATGCTCACTCAGTACATTCCAAGAAAACAACAGCCCTCGTATTTTTCCTGATAAAAAGTATGAAAGCAATGTTTTTTTCCAGGCTTTATGTAGCAGAGAGTGACTGGCATGGACATGAACAATTTGGTATAGCATGGGTTTGAAATTGAAGCACTCACACACACTGTGGATTGACAACAGGGTAATTACTGGGGGAGAAAAGGAGGAGAGAGGGTTTCAATAAAACACCCCCAAGCTAAAATGAATGCAGACTATTACAGACCTGAGACAGAATGATTCCCAAGTGTTTTAATTTGTGCTTCCACTCCTTGTCTCTCTTGCAGTCATAATTTTGGCAACTGCCAGCAACATCCCCAAGATTCAACAGCATTTGCAGAGCAGGCAGCTGCTGAGATGATTATGTGAAATCTGCACGCTGTCCTCTCTTTTCCATGTCTGATTCTCACCCTTGGAGAAGTGGCTTAAAATGATGTGTAAGCCTTGGACTGGCTGGTAACAGCAGTAGCTGTAGAGCAGGAGTCTGTGTGGGACTCCGTCACTCCCTTTTCTTTCATGCTCTGCAATTAGCTTTAAAAATTATTGCACAGAGCCCTGCTATGGCTGGTCTGGGCCCCATCCAAAGTCCTTTTGAGACAATAGAAAACCTTGCAAGAGCTCTGGCTTAAACTCTCTGGGGGCAGTAGAGAAGCAGAGCCTGTGTGAATTCCTAATTCGAGTTTCTCAAACAGTCAGTTGGGAAGAACATATAAATCAAGACTTGCTTGGTATTTGTGTCCGTCTCTTGTTCAGACCTAATACCCCCAAAGGCAGAACTGTCACTGACTGCACTGTGACTGGGACATACTGGGAAAGAAGGGGAAAGTTGCTGAGTGTAACCCAGAGATAGTATCGCTCTGCTGCTGCTGTCGTGCCCTTGAGACAGCAGAGAGCGGCCCTAAAAAGCTTTGCTGCTCTCACAGGTGGGTTGGACTTGTTGTACAAATGTTGCCCTGGGGTTTTACATCACAGGCTGCTCTTGCATTCCACACCTTGGCATGTTATTTACTCAACAGCTTTCCTTTGCTCTGCAATTGCGAAGTCAGTGGTTGATGTGGCTGATACATAATTCAGGCCGATTCTTTTCACGCTGCTGTGGCTGTGCAGCACGTGCCTGGACCACTGCTCACCCTCCCTGCCTCACCTCTGCAACACCACAGCTTGATTCAGAGGGAATGAGACTTGGTCACGGGCTCTCTTTCTGAAACTCCACTGTGAGCAATCAATCCAGTAATCCCGTGGCTTGATGGACAATAACTAACTCAATTTTCACTGACCTTACGCATTTAACTAATCCCACCAATTAAGGATAATCTGTTCTTTATATTCAGAGTTAATAGCAGACTGAAAGCTGAAAAGGCAAGAGTGGAAAGAGCAAGTCTCTTTTTGGCATCTAAAAGCTCTGGCTTAAAATTCAGACTTGCTGTTTTTAAGCCTGCTTGTAGTTGGATTTACACCAAAGTCTTGAGCAAAACATTGTCCATGATCCTACAAGGATTCAGTATGCAGTCTAAGGGGCA